AAAATATTGTCAACAGTCAGAAACATTGACAACACTCAGAAACATTGACAACACTCAAACATTGTCAACAGTCAGAAACATTGTCAACAGTCAAACATCATAAACTCTCAGAAACATCATAAACACTGAAAAACTTGGTTAACACTCAGAAACATTGTCAACAGTCAGAAACATTGCACAAATAATTTTCACAAGGCTACCCAGCATGCTTTGCAGCTTACACAGTGGGACTCTCTCACAGATTCTTTGTGAGTTTGGGGAAAAATCAAATAAAGTTAAACAGAGACACATTTTTGTTTTAATCTGGGACCTACAAATATGTTTTGGTGTTAATAATGTTTATTAAGAACTGTTAGCAGAAACATGAGAGGAAATGCTGTGCACTCTTTCTGTCCTGCTGAGCAGAAAGTTCTGATAAACTGATCATATCAGTTTGTGATCACCAACAAGCCAAATTAAACAACAAATAGATTCATTACTGGGGGACTATTGATGAGGACGCGCATCAGCTTTTTGGTTGCGGTAGTTTAAAAATCGTTACCCACAAAGAAGATGGATTAAGTGAGTTAATTCATCTTAGCAAACGACACGAAGGAAACGTTCAACACTCATCAAGTTCACTTTCAGCCCAGCTGAGTTTTGCTCCGCCTCTTTTGGTTCCGCTGAAAGCTCACATCTGAGCGAGATGTTACTGTTTCACCTGTGATTTATGAAGCGTTAAAGGAAGGACTGGTCTGAGCAGAACTGGTTCTGAATGGACCCACCTGGAACAGCAACATGTTGTTCAATCAGGGAACATACAAAACAGTCAACGTTTGTTTTATTTTGAAAAGCAAAGGTTTACCAAGTCAGAGATGGCAGGACAATATTTGTGTTAAAGAGGAGGTATAGTGTGTTATTTTTGTGTTTAATATTGTTTCACTTTAGAATATCTCTACTTTTATCCATCCATCCATCCATCCATTATCTTTACCCGCTTCTTCCTTTTTGGGTCGCGGGTGTTGCTGGTGCCCATGTCCAGCCATCACTGTGCGAGAGGCGGGGGACACCCTGGACAGGTCTCAGTCCATCACAGGGACACATAGAGACAAACAACCATTCACTCTCTCACTCACACCTAGGGACAATTTAGAGTTACCAATCAGTTTAACATGCATGTTTTTGAGTAACCTGCTCGCTGAGAAGCAGCAGCTCTCTGCCAGTTGTGCCACCATGCTGCCTCTCTACTTTTATTGCAAGAAATAGATCTTGAAATATAGTTTCTTTGAGTTACATATTTGGGTTCAGTTTATTGCAATTATGTCCGACCCATGAGCGGTTGGCCTTCAGTAACTTTGGTCCCCTGAGTAATTGAGTTGAATAGCCCTGCTCTACAGACATACCTCAGGACTTAAAACCAGTTCCGAAGGGTGGAAGTGACAGTTGTTCATGTAGCTCGGGAGGTTTTCTGTAATTAATCGGTGTTTCATACCATACCACTTTATTTATAAAGCACTTAAAAACAGCAACAAGGCCAACCAAATTGCTGCGTTTCATGAGAAGAATTGTTGTGTGGAGCGGTTGTCTCCTTTCTTGTCAGTGCACATTTATGCAGTGCTTCTGATTCATTGATTGTCTCTGAATGAAAATGTGTTGTGCTGTTAAACATTGACAAGTGCATTAGTGTAGTGAAGCACTTCATGTGTGCAGTTGTGTCAGGGGTGTGATGAGAAACAATGAGCCGGCCTTTGGGGTGTTTTATGTCTCCAATGTTAACCCTTAAAACTAGGATCTCACTGGGCTTCGACTAGTCTGAGGACTTGCCACTTGGATTTTGAATTTGTTTAGAACCAGCTCTTTCTGTTTCTGCCACCACTGTGGCACAAAACAAAGCACCAGCTTCTTGCTAGGCCGAAGGAAAGAACTGCTTCTGTGAGGAGCAGGAAACGAGAACACGAAGACCAACAACCAAGTAAAATTTTAGTGAGCACCATGTTTAAAGAGACACAGTTAGTTTCACTTTTACTCTTAATTTAAGACCAAATACGTTGCCTGGACATGAATAACAAGCCGAATTAGCAGCCAAAAACATCATCACTACGCCTCATCTTTCTTAACTTTATGTGGGTTTCCTTCTAACAAAATGTCAGATGAAGACATCCTATGCAGGAAAAATGGCACAAACCCTGTGATTTGTGGAGATACAGTGTTTCTCTGCAAAAACTTGGAATACAACAGAGGAAGGAGCATCCATGTGATGGAAGAGACATTTAATGTCACGTAATGACGTACATAGCTTCGAGACAAACGGATTCTTAACTTGAACCAGCCCTGGGCTAGTGCTGGCACCTCTTTAGTGGGAAAACCTAATGTTCACAAAATTTGTGCAACATTTTTTCCATTTACAAAAGTTGCAGAATTATCACAGGCGTGTCAAACCCTTCTCAAGAACACCACAGCTGTATTTTGATGCCTGCATGGGAGCTCTATCCTGCTAGGAAACATGTCCACATCTATAAACCACTGCAATAATAAATATTATCGATTGAAAAACTGCTCAAAATCTGCCCATCTTCATTTCTAAAGTACACTCCAACAGACTGAAACAAAGTTGTGGGCTGTCGAGCAAAGCAGGCCGAGGCAGGTGAAATAATGTGAGCAGCCTAGAATAGAGTTCTGTAAGTCGTACACAAAACACAAGCCTTCATTTTCAACAACTTTGGCACGCACAAACCTGCGGTCACGAGGCTCGCTGCTCAGTTTGTATCAAACACTCAGATTTCAGTGAGACTACAACTGGTTTAAATCAGCCTGAGTTATTCTGCACTAGATGCTGTGTCAGGTATTTGTTTTATTTAACACAGTAATATTTGTCATTTAACTATTATTAGCCATTCATTTTTATTAAGAGGTTGTTTGGATCGAAAACTCCCACCTCCCAGGGCTTTTCTGTTTCCTCTCACTGTGTTAGCGTTAGCTTCTTGCAGCACTGAAATGGCACATGATCAAAGATCAAATGTGGGAAACGCATCCCAGCAAAGTTTAAGAAGCAACACAGCTCCTGCAGTGGTTTTTTTTTTTTTTTTTCAGCTGGAAAAAAATGAAAGACTGAGCAAAAAACCAATTTCTAACCAAGGTAGAAAATTAATGAACTTTAGTCGGAAGCACTTTCACTTTGGAGCTAACATGTCGAGCAGTAAAGATCAAAGATCCAAGCGAAGACATTAGTAGTTTGTGTGTTGACCTGTTCTGGAACCTTACATGTATTTATTTTCACATTTCTTTGTTATTTTGGTTTGCAGAAAAGTTGAGAAAATCTTGTAAAAATGAGTGGATTGAGTGCATTGTGTCCTGTTTAAATGCTGCCCAGTGCTAATTCTGCAGAATTCACTGTGCAGAAAATGTCTCAAGGTGTTTTTGGTACAAGCGTCTGTATGATGAAGGTCAAGATCAGAGATCTGCAACATTTTCAACAACAACAAAACAAATATAGTCTTCTATCTACAGAGCTACAAATTCAATTTGAGCCTTAAAATTAAGATTCATATGTAATTCATATTGTTTCACTTGTTTCACTTAAAATTCTGGTCTGTTGTGCGACAACTTTTTATTTGAAATTTTTTCTTGCAAAATAGCCACAGAGTTGTTGTGGACGTCTCAAACTCTTCTTAATTCAGCTTCTGGTATTCGAGAGCAGTGATTCCCAAACTTTTTAGTTTACCATACTCTTAGGAATTATTTTTCAGTTTTGTTTGGAGAGCCGACCCACTGTTCTGGAGCACCAGAGGCGTGTTTTGACGTCTGCGTAGGAGCTCAACTTATGACCAAAACCACCCAGAATGATTAAATCAAAAGTGCACAAAAAATGGGCCTCAGTTTCCCAATATTAACCATGCAAAATGCAGCAGTGATGCTCACTGGTTGCAAACATCCAGATTTTCGTGAGCATTTCAAGAAGAAATGTCCCATTTCTTCTAGATTTTGAGTCTCCAACAGTTGCAGCCTGATGAGGTGCTCACTTTAGGCATGACACTATTCGTGGGACTCATTTATTGCTTTAAAATATGGATTTTTGCATCTTGAAATGCCTTTTAATGCCTTATCAAACCCAAATTAATGTAAGCTTGCTGTTTGAGCCTGATCTTCCTATCTGACTAGCTTCTCTTCTAGAAAAAAAAAATAGGTGTGGAAATAAATAAATACCAGTACGCCACCAGCTTTGAGAAGCTAGAATGATAAAATCCTGACAGAAAATGTGACCCAACTAAAACCAAAGGATGAGAGAAAAATGCACACAGTTGTTGTTTTCATTGGGTTTAAGCAACTTTAAATGTCTTCAGATCAATATTAACATCATTAGACAATCCTTCGAACAATTGTTGCCTTATTTGGTGAAAGTCTTCCATTACTCTTATTTCTGCTTTTTTTTTATTGGACGACGTTCATCAGCATATTTAAAGAAGTGGAGCCATTTATACGTGTTTGTTGTCAACATATGAGTGAAATGTTTGTACTTTTCTGGTTTTAGCCCACTAATGAAGCACAACGTGAGGAGGTACCTGTCTGCAATAAAACCATGTTTGAAAGTGTGATGACAGAACTGTGTCTGTTGTGTTGGGAAAAAAAATCACAATAAAACTGTTGTTACACCTTGCAACAATTTAAATAGTTTGGTTTATTTATTTATTTTTATTTTTTTTAGGAAAACACACACACTTCAACCACAGACTTCTGAGTATTTTCTTGGACTTTATGGGACAAACCAATACGTGAAGTTTCCAGATAAAAGTCTGAGTAGTTGTTCTTGTGCAGGAGTCGCCACAGCAAGCGGACTCACATAATTATTTGGAAGTTTGACGCAACCTGGGCTCAAACCTGCAGCCTCAGGATTATGAGCCCACAGCAATTACCACTGATCCACTGCAGCCTAAATCACCAAAACCAAAGTTGAACTTTAGAGCTAAAGGCAAAAATTTGGAGGATTTTCATTTCCTGTCAAAATGCAATGTGAATGATTTAGCTAAAACTACTAAAGCTACGTCTGGTCCTCTGAACGTGTTCAAAAAACAAAAAGTAGAAATGTTTAGTCGTTCATCTGAAAGACTTCTTCAGTCTTTTCCACCTGGATTATTGAGCATGCATCAGATTTAGCTAAAAGCTGAAAGGAGCACAAAAAATCGAAAACAGGAAAATAACTGAAAAACTCAGAAAAAGCTTAAATTATATTTAAAACAATAGGAATAAGCTAAAAGTAGAAGAAACAAGCTGACTTTAACAGAAAGAAGCTAAAGTTAGCAGTAAAAGATTGTAAACAGCTCAAAGGGTTTAAAGGATGTAGAGATCCATTCATTTTCAATGAGAAAAACATGCTAAATAATTACATTTTCTTGTAACCCTGACCTGGTTGGGGAAAAAGTAGATGAATTATAACTTTAGGCTGGTTTATGTACCAAGAAAACTGAATAAATTATGTTTTAATTTGTACGATCAAAGCCTTTGGACCAAATGAAGGCGCTGTTGTTACCTTTTGTTTTGAAAGTTGTATTTTATTCACGTGGATTTTTGTTTCACTTCATGTTTTATTATCAGCAACATTAATTTTATTTTTTATAATTTCCTGTGACATATTTGATTTCATAACATGTAAAGAGTTTGAAAATACAACCGATGGTGGTTCATATTTTCTGAATGTGATTTTCTGGAGAGGAAAGGTGGGGCTGCCTGAGACGTTCACGTGTGCTGAAAGGAGTTAGAAAACTGAGCTTTACGGCTACTTTTTTAAACATACAGTATTCGTTGATTAGTATTTGGGTTCACGTCTGCGTGGAACTACGAAATGTGTGTCTCGTCTTTTTTCTAAAAAGCTAAATAGGTTATGTTGCCGCCGGGAGGAACAGACACTCCCGCCCATAGATATCATATGCTCCCGCCCAGTAGGTGGCGGGAAAACCAGACCGGATGTGAAGAAGAAGAAGAGGCTCCTTCCTCTTTGCTTGTCCACACAAAGCTGGTCTGTTTCGGGTTATATGCTGCTAAACTTTATTGTTTTTTTCATCTAATTATTGGGGATGTTCTCATTAGTTCTCCGCAGAGGTGAGTCCAAAGATGTGTTGATGTGATTTTAAAGTGACTCGCGCAATAAGGGAAATCTGTCGCACGTGCTTACTTTGTCCCACATGGATGTGAATGTTTGCAGCGGGTTCTTGTTTCACGAGCAGGAAGTTAATTAAAAATAACTACATTTAAAGCTGGTTCGAAAGTTAAAAAAAAAATGCAAATAAATTTTATAATTTGTTTTAGATAACGTTTAAGAAAATGTGCACCTACAACAATCTGGAAAGCTTTGGTGTCATAGATCATAAAATAGTCTTGAAGTCATAATTAGTGAACATGGTAGTAGATGTAGAATATAATGTGCATAGGTTTGTTTCTAAAATAACTAAAGGTAAAAACGGCTGATATTTATGAGATCTGAGGAGAATGTTGTAAAATTATTCTACTTTTACCAACACTCCCATAATCAGCTTGATGTGTAAAGTTATGAAACATAGTTCTAATAATCATAACTTGTATTTTTTGTGTTTAATATTTTATTAATATTCTGTTCTGAATAATTTGAGTGAGGAATAGGTAAAAGTCCTCATTTACAAGTTTGAGACATCTTGGCTTAAAATCTAAAAAGGATTTAAAAAAAACTTTTAAAGCAAATATAACTCCTATAATCTTTTTGTAATTGTCAGATGAAGCATGTTGAAGTTTGAAGATTTATTTTAGATCCTCGGGGCCTTCTGCTGATCAAAACGTGTCTTCAGTTTGATCTGAAGTGAATTAAAGTCACAGGATGTGAGAGACGAGCTTTAATGGTTCTGTTTGAAACCAACAAAGAGCAGGTTTGGATCTGGACCTGAAGGCAGACGTTCTTGGAACAGAACCTGCTCTGAGCCGGAGACTCAGGGTTTCTGTCAGGAGAGGAAACAACAGACTCCATTATTAAAAATCAAGATAATTAGGCTCTGTTGTTTTTAATGTGTCTGGAAGTGGTCCAGAACTGTTAGGGTCCAAGTTGTGGTGGTCCTTCATTCCTCAGCAGGACCAAGGGAGCCACTTGGACCCAACGACCCACAAAAGAAATGGGTTCTGCTCCACCTGAATACAACCAGGTGGATATCCTGCATGTCAGCTCTTTGTTCATTGTTTGTTTTTCAGGTTCAGAACCAGTGATCTTCTGCCCAATGGTTGTGGACCAGAACCAGAACTTGTGGTTCTACCAAGTACCAATGCATGAATACAAGGACACAACAGAGACGACAGCTGTCTGGGACACTCAACGATGACGGACCACCAGCTGATCAGTTGGATTCACATCTGGTTCTGTGAGGTCCAGTCACCGACACAGCTGCAGGTCATGTTACCGTTCACCTGGACAGGTGATGTTCATGCATGTACCGGGTCATGCAGGATACTGAACAGGAGGCCGTTCTGACTCGATCTCTGCAGTAAGTCTCTGCCATAGTTGCATGTTTGTTTGCCTGGAAATGATGTAATAAAAGGCCGACTGAAGCCCCGCCTCCAGCAGTCTGTTCACATTGGTGGGCCGTGACATAAACGGACCGAAGCGTGTTCTGATCCGGGAGGTTCACAGGTTTACCGAACCCTCACTGCACCCTTACCTGATCCATGTGATGTATTTCTATCCCTCAGGCGAGTCTTCACCCGCCAACCCGTTCCTCTGATGGCAGCGGAGACGACACGCAGGTGAGTGCTGTGATGTCACACTGTAGGCGGGGTCACCAGCTGCAGGGCCTTCTGGGAAATGATGTAAACAAAAGGCCGAATTGTAGCGCCATCACCTGGCAGTTTGTTCTCAGAGTGCAGCGCGATGACAAAGACTGACCGAAGCGTTTGTCTGATCCCAGCCAGGGTCACATGACTCTCAGAGCTCTATCAGAACCACAGCAAACTGTTGTCCAGTGGGTTGAATAGTTATTTTTTTTAGAATAAGACTTCTTTCTGTCTGCAGATAAACTGCTTCCTGTTCCCAGTCTGAGCCGAAGGACTTGGCTGTTTGGTCCCAGTTCCTCAGTACCAATCTGCAGTCCGAGTTCAGTTGTTGTCCGGCTTCTTTTTCCTTCAGTTTCACTCGTCGTCCTGTGTTCAGCAGGGTTTTACCTTTGACCCATGATCTCATCCAGTCATAAAATGACTTAAACTCAGCGGATCAGCCAGTTGTCAGCTTATAACGGCAAACTTTAAGTTTAAATGACATCTTTAGATGTTTTATTTTTGTTGTCACTAGTTTTTCTAAGCTGAATCAATAAATAATACCAACAACAACAGTTGGTCTGTGTTTTATTCCCAAAATGTGATTTTTCTAATGGCTGATTGATGAAAAATCCTGGAGAACTAAAGATGAACACTCGGAGTTAAAATTGTGACAGTTTTGTTTGTACTCTTTCATTGAAGACAAAATCCTGCTACAAAGGTCACAGAAATCACTGGAAACTGACATAAGTTAAAAAAAAAATCAAGCAATAGTTTTGAGTTTTGTTTCACTAGAAAAAAATAAAAGTAAAATCATCTTTAAACTATTAAAACAAAAAAAATTTGGTTTTTTTTACATAATTTATGACAAAGCTCTAGATAATTTAACTCCAGAGTTTAACTTAAATTAATGCATTTTTTCAGTTAAGTTACTGATTAAAAGGAACAAGAACAGGCTAAAATATAAACAATTTTTCCAAGGTGTATTATGAACCGGAAGTTAAAAACACTCGAGCATTGACGTCAAAAACGTTGACGTTTCAAAGTAAAACTAATTTCAATAGCTGTACAGCCCAGTGAAACAACTGGCATACAAAAATAGAAATCGAGAGAGTGGTGTAATTAAAGAAGAAGGGAAAAAAAAGATCTAAATTAAAACCTGAAGTTTTTGCCTGTGTTTGACAGGTCGGAAGATGAACCGGAAGTACTTATCGCCTTAATAACCTTTCAGTAATGCTGAGTGGGCGAAGCTCCGCGGAGCGGGGTGATCTGAAACATTAAAACAGTATTTTTCTTTTCCGAAGTGGAATAAAACGAGAATCTGCTACCATGAGTACCATGTTTGCGGACACCATTCTGATCGTGTTCATCTCCATTTGCACAGCGTTGTTAGCTGAAGGTGGGTGGAAGTCATGCGCGCTAGATGTATCCAAATAAGGGTAATTTAAAATATATCTGATTTAAACGGTATTGATATGATGGATTACTTCATGGAGGAGACAATGCTAGCTTTATTATGACTGAGTTTCTAACTTCATTGTTTATTTGTACCTACGGTTTGTTCGTTAGAAGATACGTTAGTATGGCAAGACAGAAGTTTAGCGATTGTGTTCCGGTTTCTTTTCAAAATAAAAGGCGGCAAACAACTTCTAGTACCCTCCGGAAGTCACTGCTGACATTAAAACTTAAAAACAAAAGAAATGGACACAAAACGGTTATAACTCAGTTTTACAGAGGTTGAACTATAATGTGCGGTAGTAGCTGAGACTGATCCCGAACATACTCTCATTCTAAATGATTTGTGTAATAACTATTGTAGTCAACTTGGAGTCACCACAGATAACTAACACGAGCCAAGACAAAATAACTGCAGGTTAACTCAGTCAATTTTATGTTGAGCTATAATTTGTTCTAGTATTAGCTGAGAGTGGAGAGATTCTCCCACATACAAAAAAAAAAAAAATTGCATCGTATGCCAAAAAGACGGGACCCCTACAAATTGTGTTCTTCAATGATTTGTGAGCACCGATTTGAACAAACTGTTTTTAAAAGATAATTTGACCTGGATCTAGTGCAGTGAGAAGTTTAAATAATTTTTTAATAGAATGTTAAAGTTATGAAGAACTAAATGCTGCCAAATCCATGACTTTTAGGGTCATTCTGTGCCAAATCACCCCTCTAAAAAAATGAAAATTTTAACCAGACTCTTTCAGATGTCGATGAAACCTGGCTTATATGTCAGCTGTGATCCCATACCATAGTATGTCAAATCTTCAGTCAATGGGAACTGTGGTTCCAGAGATATTGCTCAAGTTTGGGATTTTCAGCAAAAATGGGTGTGGGCGCCTATTTTCAACCCGTTATGTCAGAAACTACTGGTTTTCACAAACTTGGTGTCACTGGAAAGGGAATTTAATAGGAATTATAAATCTGCCTTTACATTTGGATCACGTGACCTTGAGATGACCTTTCGTTAAATTAAATTCTGCACTGGTTATCTAAAGCACATAACTGTTCAAAGGGTTTTTGTTTTTTAGGATCAATCTAAACATCTTTGGCACAACCATTACAGACCTTTACATGACCTCGTGCTGCATTCAAGGGACTTAAGGTCCATGTACTTGTCTTCTTCTGATCTTTGCTGCAGGTATTACCTGGGTTCTAGTGTATCGAACTGAAAAGTACAAGAGGCTGAAGTCTGAGGTGGAGAAACAAAGCAAAAAACGTAAGAGCAAGGCTCGGGAAGACGTTTGCTCAGATTGAGTTTAGAGTTTACAAAGAGCTTTTGTAATTTCAGTTGAGAAGAAAAAAGAAACCATATCTGAGTCAGCTGGACGCCAGCAAAAGAAGAAGATTGGTAAGAGTCCAGTGGAAGGCTGCCCTGCTCTTCTCATCTATAGAGACACTGATACTTGATCTTTGTGTTACAGAAAGACAGGAAGAGAAGCTGAAGAACAACAACAGAGACCTGTCTATGGTGAGACTTATTTTTAATTTCAAGATGTGTTTATTTGTCATAGGCAGGTTAACACAAGGTTAAAAGTACAATGAAATGTTCAGGATGAGAATAACTGATTTGACTCGCTTAAAAAAACAAAGCACAAACAAACTAGAAAATACTAAAGCATGCAATATGGGTACAAAAACTACCAAAAAGTGATTATAATATTTACAAGGTCCTAAAGAGAAATAGTAAACAACAACATGGTGCAAGTAGGATGAACTTGTATGAATAAGTATTTTAAGATAGTAATATAAGCTAAAATTATATTATATATTGCCCATTAACGTAAACTACACAGGTTGTGTGACAGGTTATTGCACAGGTAGTGAGTGACATTGAGATGAATTATGATGGTAAGGTAGTGACATACATGATACAGCCACATAATGCATTAGTAATAAAAATATTAGGTGTCACAAGCTAATATTAGTCATATTAGTTGTCACAGATGTGGCTTGGTGCAAAGTTATTGCCAGTTGTTCAGTGTTATTTATCAAGAGTTTAGTAATGTACAGCTTGTGGATAATAGCTGTCCTTTAGTCTTTTTGTACGTGATGGCAGATTCCTGTATCATCTGCCTGAGTGTAGTAGATGGAAGAGTCCTTGTGCTGGGTGGGTGTGGTCCTTAACGATGCTGCATGCTTTACGCAGACATTGGCTGTGGTAGATGTCCTGGATGGTGTGGAGACTGCTACCAGTGATGTCCTCTGCTGTTTGCACCACCCTTTGTACAGCTTTCCAGCTCTGACTGGTGCAGTTCATGTACCACCCTGTGATGCAGCCTGTCAGCAGGCCCTCAATGGGGCACCTATAAAAGTTGGTGAGGATGCTGGTGTTTGTACCAAACTTATTTAGTCTTCTTAGGAAGTAGAGTCTTTGTCTGGCTTTCTTGACCACAGTGTTTGTATGTAAAGTCCAGGACAGATCCTCGGTAATGTGAATGCAGAGGAACTTGAAGCTGCTGACCTGCTCCACCTCAGTGTTGTTAATGTTGATGTTGAAGTGCTAACCTCCACGCTGTTTCCTGAAGTCCACTATCATCTCCTTTGTTCTGACATTTTGAGAGAGGTTATTTTCCTGACACCAGCTGGTCAGTGATTTCACCTCATCTCTGTAGGCACGCTCGTCGTTGGTGATGAGGCCCAGGATGGTAGTGTCATCAGCATACTTGAGGATGATATTAGAGCTATGCTTGGTGGTACAGTCATGTGTAAATAGAGAGTACAGTAGTGGACTGGGGACACAGCCTTGAGGTGCACCGGTGCTGAGGACTAGTGTGGAGGAGAGGTGACAGCCGATTCTCACTGCCTGTGGTTTGTTGGTGAGGAAGTCCAGTATCCAGCAGCAGATGGACTTCTCCAGGCCCAATGTGGTGAGCTTGGAGACCAGCTTGGAGGGGATTATGGTGTTGAATGCTGAGCTGTAGTCAACGAAGAACATTCTCACGTAGGTGTTTCCTTCTCCAGATAGCTGAAGGTGTGAACTGCTAAAGCAATGGCATAATCTGTAGACCTGTTTGCTCTGAATGTGAACTGTAGGGGGTCCAGGGTGTCAGGGAGGGAGATACAGATGTGAGTTTTGATAATTTGCTCATATCACTTCATGATGACAGATGTGATGCTATGGGCCGAAAGTCATTAAGGCAGGATGCTGCAGAGGTCTTTGGGATGGGGACAACAGTGAAGGTCTTTAAGATTGTGTGGACAATACACTGGCTCAGAGACAGGTTAAAGATGGTGATAAACACCTTGGTGAGGTGGTCAGCGCACACTCTCAGTACCCTTCCTGGGATGCCATCAGACCCTGGTGCTTTGTGAGGGTTTGCCTTCTTGAATGCCTGTCTCACTGTAACAATATCTAAACAGAGTGTGGGAACTACAGTAGTTCCCTCTGCCAAAGCCCATACTCATTCTGAGTGTGACAGTATCCAACATCGTTATAAGATGGCCTTGGTCTAAAACTCTAGCATGAAAAGTAGTGGGCAATTTGTATTCCCTTAAGGAATAATGGGGCTTTAAAAACAGTTTGTGTGAAAAGGTGTGTCCAGTTGTCTGGAACTGTTTGTCTTGTTCTTACTTTGACAACACAGGTTGGGCTTAAACGTCCATCTATCTATCCATTATCTTTTACCCGCTTCTTCCATTTTTGGGTCATGGGGGTCGCCAGTGCCCATGTCCAGCATTCACTGTGCGAGGGGTGGGGTACACCCTGGACATGTCACAAGTCCATCACAGGGACACATGGAGACAAACAACCATTCACTCTCTCATTCACACCTAGGGGCAATTTAGAATGACCAATTAGCCTAACATGCATGTTTTTGGTCTGTGAGAGGAAACCGGAGTAAACCCACACATGCACGGAGAGAACATGCAAACTCCACCCAGAAAGGCTGGGATTTGAACCAGGGACCTGCTCGCTGAGAGGAAGCAGCTCTACCAGTTGCGCCACCGTGCTGGGCTGAAACGTATTCTTCATTAATTGTAAGTGTTCATGTCTGCAGGTGCGCATGAAGTCCATGTTCGCCATTGGCTTCTGCTTCACAGCTCTGATGGGCATGTTTAACTCCATGTAAGTGGCACACTTTGTTCACATATTTGTATTTTTAATTCAAAACCTAACGTTACATGAGGGTGATGGAGACCAGAGTATAGATACAGATATTCTGTGCTGCCATCAGTGACTTCTTCAGTTCTCTTCAGTAAACGGGCTCAGACTTCTGCCTGCTTTTCTCTTTTTCTGCCAGTTTTGATGGAAGGGTGGTGGCCAAGCTGCCGTTTGTGCCGCTCTCGTACATCCAGGGGCTGTCGCACCGCAACCTGCTGGGCGAGGACTACACGGACTGCTCCTTTATCTTCCTCTACATCCTCTGCACCATGTCCATCAGACAGGTAACCGAAGCTCCTTTTCCACAGCCTGAACCAGTAGGACCTGCCTGTCTGACAGCAGTCCTGATACGAAGCTAAAAGATAACCGCACCTTTTAGCAAAAAAGCTGCAGAGACTCTTCAGTGTTCTGAGGAGTTCTTGTCAAGAACAGAAAACAAGTTCATCAAGGGAGAGAAAAAGCTCCGATCCTGTCCTTACTGAGGTTATCTGCCCCACTTCCATGAAGTCTGGGTGCAAACGAAGCTTTTTGTGTCCTCTACTGCCCCCTGGAGGCCACGTGTCAGATTTGTTGTTTGAACTTTGACCTAAAGTCACAAAGTTTTCAAAAATGAGTCCAAATGAAGTGATATCCCAAAAGTCTTTGACAGTAAGTCATCGGTACTTGTTTGTAAGAAACATGTTTGTCTTCCAGAACATTCAGAAGTTGCTCGGCCTCGCTCCCTCCAGAGCTGCGACAAAGCAGGCGGGGGGCTTCCTCGGACCTCCTCCTCAAGCAGCCAAGTTTTCCTAAGTGGCGTTCCAAGCTTGACACCTCCTTTGGAGCACGGGTGGAACATTTCGAGCCTGAGAAGCTGTCTGTCAGTTGCAGCTGTTGCGTTATAACTGGTTTTAAGTTTTGGTGTTTTATTTATCCTAAATGTCTCCAGACTTTAGAAAAGAAGTTGTTCTAAAGATTCACAAAGCGTACGGCTGAGTGTGAGCTCATGTCATGGACTGAGGTTTCATTTTTCACATTAACATGCAGCCCACTTCAGCATTACTGTATGTCATCGTCTCTACTTGAGTATCTTGTATATGAATAAAGTTTTATGATTACATTTCAGTTTTTTTCTTAACGTTTGTTCCACTTCAGAAGCCTGATTCTTCCTGCTCTACAGTTTTTGTTGTGCTGACTCAGCATTCACACTCCTGTTTTCTGGTATTTTTCTGTACGATTTCTGTTTCTGCGTAGTTTGTATTTCAGCGAGCGTGGAAGAGTGCAAAAATGGCCTTTTATTGTGGTCAGCCTAAGGTACACCAGTGCAGCAATCATGCTGTGTAATCAGCACGTTGATGTGCCTCACTTGTGTGGTGGATGGATGATTTCAGCAAAGAAGTGCTCACTAACTCAGATTTACACAAAGTTGTGAATAATATTTGAGAGAAAAAGCTTATTGTGTAAATAGAAATGTGGATTTGAAAAACTGTTCATGAATTTGTGAATCATAGTACATATTTGTTAAACTTGCTTTGCGCTTGTGGAACTTGTACATACAAATCTCATTGTACGCTTGTGTGACTACTTTTGAGACTGATTTATCTCCATACAACAGCTCTGTACAGAAAGAAGGTTTGTAGGCAACCATCGCACAGGAGAGGAGACGTCCCTGGGTGGCTTAATCTTAAGGGGCGGAGCCAGATGCGTGTCGTGGGTGTGTCAAGGGGCGGTGCCTGACGGACAGTCACAGTGGGCCTACTTGTGTCGTGTGTTTATTTAACTGGGCGGGGTCTAAAGAGCGGCTGGGGGCGGGGCTTGGGTGTTGTTTAAATGTTTGTGAAATTTCTCCTGCTGGTCCTCTTCGCCGTCCATCTTGCGTAGTGTTTGTTTAAAATCGGTCGGAAGGTAAAGTTATATTTTCTTCTCATACTTTGCATGTATCGAATAAAATTTCAGATGCACGCGCTTCCTGTCCGCGTGCTTTTGCGTAGCCTGACTTCAAAGGTAGCGTTTGTTTCACGAGCCCCTTGTTACTTATCAGCGCTGTTGCATAACACGGTGGATGTCAGAGGTATGACGTGCTTTGTTCCAGACCCCCGTTCGTCTGAAAATGGCCCAGTCAGTCCTGGACTTGATGCCCGGAGCCTCGACCGGAACCGTGCTGGTGTCGGACCCTCTGAACTTCTGGGCCGGGAAGCGGGTCAAACCTCTGCAGCAGAAAAACGCAGAGCCGGTGTTCGAGCCTGCAACTGGTGAATAACTCTCAGAAAACATTCAGCATGTCAGATCCTGATTAAAACAAACAAAAAAAGCTTAATTATAGTTGAAGAAAGTTGTCTTGTTTTTGTCCACCAATACAAAAAGTTCGTTTCAAACTCTTAAAATGGAAATTGGAGCAGCTGTGGACATTTGTGAAGGCTGCTGAGTTTATTACCAAATCTATCCTGATGCATGCTCAATAACAGATTACCAAATATAGTTATCACCTTCCACTCAAAGGCTTTCATGTTTTTCTGTTGGCCAAATGTCTCATGAGCTGGGTGGATATTAATTAGACTCAAAAATCAATTATCTCTTAAACTGATGAACGTTTGGCTCCGTTTGGAGCCACTTTAAATCATATCTGTCACAGAACGGGTTTAATTTAAATAATTTCACAGATCTTGAGCTAACATTTTGTGTGGTAGCTGCTGAGAGTCCTACACAACACCTCATCTGAGTGACATCACATGAGACGGCACATTTTTGAAGTTTGACCATGTTCCATGCGGGATCAATAAAGTTCTATCTTATCTTAACTTTGGCCTGAAAGGCGGTGGTGGGTGATACACATCTCTTCCAGGACTGTGTCAGCAGTAACGTTTGATTTCTGCAGGCCGTGTCCTGTGTCAGATGGTGCCCTGCGGGGCTGAAGAAGTGGACGAAGCCATTCAGAGCGCACACGCCGCCTACCTAAAATGGAGCAAGTTGGCTGGCATGGAGCGGGCTCGGATCATGCTCGAGGCGGCCCGTATCATCAGGGTGAGACGGTCGTATGCTGAGAGCGCGCCTGTTTTCCTCTCTTGATTGTGCAACACACATTGGAGCTGACTGCTGCAGGAATGCAGAAAGACATTAGTTGCTCAATAACAGCTCGCTCCTGCCCTCAGTGTCTGCTTCCATTTTTGTGTCTGTTGAGTTGACACATAGAAGGTGAAATAGCTCCTAATCGTTTACTGTTTTCATTCTTTTACTTTTAAAATCAGGAAAAAAAGGAGAAAATTGCAAAGCTTGAAGTGATCAACAATGGCAAGTCCATCACTGAAGCTCTCGTGGATGTTGACATAGCCTGGCAGTGCATAGAGTACTACGCTGGCCTGGCTGGTACACTCGCAGGTGGGTACACTCGCATACTTTGTTTTGGTGCAAAATGTGTTTCTCGAATGGCGAGAGCCTTAACTTGCTGTTATCGCTCCCTGTCAAAATCATAAAAGTGATTTATGCATTTGCCCCTATTTGTGAGTTTGTTTGGCAATCCAGTTCAAGATGGCCGCCACCATAGCAAACACGAAAATGGCAACAACTCAGTCAGTTTTACAGATATGGAGGTAAAGTTTTGTGTGGTAATAACTGAGAGTCATTCGCAACTTATACTCCCAACATCGTTACTTACATTTTGTTTGTCAGCCCAAATTGTTAGCAAAATATCTCATGATTCAATGGACAGACTGTATGTACATCTACAACTGATTAGCTTTTGGAGTCACGTCAGTTCAAGATGGCGGTCACAGCTAATGGATCATAGCCAACAGAAAACCGGCTTTAACCCAGTTTAAAAAATATTAGGGTAAACTTAGGTGTGGTAGTAGCTGAGGGTTGTCTTCAACTCATACTGAGTGCTAACAGATCTCACAGATCAGGTCAAAGCTGGTAAATGATTTTAGCACAAATGGCTGAAACGTTCTCCCCTCTCATCATAAGATGTTTGTTTAAACACTGACACAACCAGCAGTGAATGATGTGCTTTACTTTAAGAACTGCCAGGCCTTTTATGGTTTGAACATGGTTTTGTGCTGTCACTGAATGCAGGTCAGCACATTCAGCTTCCTGGCGGAGCATTCGCATACACCCGGAGGGAGCCCCTCGGCGTGTGCGCAGGAATCGGTGCATGGAACTACCCCTTCCAGATTGCAGCATGGAAGTCTGCTCCTGCTCTGGCGTGTGGTCAGTGTGGAGCTGTGTTTTCCTCATCATTCACTCTGTTGTTCTTTTGTCTGCAAAGTCAAAGCTCTGAACTGAGGATGAAGTCACAGCTGAGTTGACTCCATTCTACGTGCAAGAATCAAAACCAAACTTGAGTTTGCTCGTTGACCGGTGGAGCTTTTTCTACACTGCTGAAACAATCCGTCTTAGGCTTTTGAAATTCAGGAGGAACTAGATAAATATGTTCTGTGAAAATACAATGTAAGTGAATCCTGAGTGCTGTAGGATTCTGATTTTTTTTTTTTTCTCAAGTAGCTGAAACTGATTTGTTAAAGCTAAAAGAAGCAACATGCTAGCTAGAAGCTAAACGGAGCATAAAGGTTGTTAAAGGAAGCAGAATGATAGCTAAAAGTCGCAAAAGGCTAGGTAAAAGGTACATAAAGGTTGCTAAAAGTAGCAGAATGGTAGCTAAAGGCAAGCTAAATGGAGCATAAAAGTAGCAAAAGGCTAACCAAAAACTTGTATAATAAGGCTATAATTGAGCAAGCAGATTTCAAAGAACAATGTGTAGTATTTAAAGAAATATAGGTATTTTGGGGGTGCAAGACAAAAAAATGTGTAAAGTCAATATTTTTGAATAAAAGTTTTAAAAGTTGCAAAAAATCTAAATTCAAAACACAAGCTGAATGTTTTGATAAATGAATGACTAAAAACAGCACAAGTTATGCACAAGTAGTTGCAACACCTCACAGAAAAACATGTCATTTTGATTTTGCAATAAATTCAGACGGAGCAAACCGGTAGGACTGAACTGTGGTTGTGGTTTTTGGTAGGTAATGCCATGGTTTTCAAGCCCTCCCCCATGACTCCTGTGACGGCTGTGATCCTGGCTGAGATCTACAAAGAGGCGGGGGTGCCTGACGGACTCTTCTGTGTGGTCCAAGGTGGAGCCGAGACGGGCTCGTTGCTCTGCCATCACCCAAATGTTGCTAAAGTCTCCTTTACTGGCAGCGTCCCAACTGGCAAAAAGGTATAAAGACTGTTTTAACATGCAGCACAGATCAGATCAAATGGGTTTCTAAGAAGGTCTTCAGATGAGATGAATCCAAATAAACCAAGTTGTGTCCAGAATACTCACACCTTTGAGTTAAATGTCATATTTACGCCTGTCGAAGACGGAACAGACATGGTAGTCTCTGACCAAACGTCTGTAAACCTTCTCTTGTCCTGCGCCTAACTTCTCATCTGCTCAAGATAATGTAAAAAAACTTCAGACATCTGCATCATCACTAGACAGAGTATCCATACACTTTTTATCACCCCAGCTCCAAGATCAAGGTCAATGTTATACAAGGCCTTTGCTGTATGCGTGTCGACGGGTGTATAACGTGCTGTTCGTGGTACGTTACCGTGACTGTAAACAGAAACGACACAATGTGCTACTGAGTGAGCGCACCATACTTTTTGTTCCTCTCAGGTCATGGAAATGTCTGCAAAGGGGGTGAAGCAGGTGACTCTGGAGCTCGGAGGGAAGTCTCCCCTCATTATCTTCAAAGACTGCGATCTGGAGAACGCAGTGAGGGGTGCGCTCATGGCAAACTTCCTGACGCAGGGACAGGTGGGGATGAAACATTAGTTTATGTTTGGATTGTGATATTCAGCTCCTCAAGATCCAGGATCTGAGAAACTTCTTGCAAACTTTACCTTTAAATGTGTAGGTTTGTTGCAACGGAACTAGAGTGTTTGTGCAGAGAGAGATCATGCCACGGTTCCTGGAAGAGGTGGTCAAGAGGACCAAGGCCATCCTTGTGGGTGACCCCCTGCTTGACGGCACCCGAATGGGAGCGCTGATCAGCAAGCCCCAACTGCAGAAAGTGCTGGGGTTTGTCAGTCAGGCCAAGGAGCAGGTGTGTTGAATGTTGAACAAACTAATCCTGTACTCTGATTTTACCACAAAACAAATCTAAAGAGCTTTTTTTTCAGGGAGCCAAAGTGCTTTGTGGAGGAGAGCCGTTAGTCCTTGATGACCCCAAACTGAAGGGAGGGTACTATATGTCACCTTGTGTACTTGGTATGTCTAGAAACATTCGCTTGTACCTGCATCAGCCTCACTCCTCCTGTTCTTCGTGCCTGACATCTTCTCTGTGGACAGATAACTGCAGAGACGACATGACCTGCGTCAAGGAAGAGATCTTTGGTCCAGTCATGTCCGTCCTGCCTTTTGACACGGAGGAGGAAGTGATCAAGAGGGCCAACAACACCACCTTTGGATTGGCCTCTGGAGTCTTCACCCGGTGAGCACTCTTCCCTCAGCCACTGATTAATCTTCTGCCGCTTTGCTTTTGAAGATAAAGAGTTTTACTGCTGCATTTTAGATCCAAGTATTGTTGCATAATGAGTTTGGATACAAAGAACTGTTAATGTTTTACTGCATTACAACAGTTCTTTTGTCTGCCTGCAGGGATATATCCCGAGCTCACCGTGTGGCGGAGAAGCTGGAGGCGGGGACCTGCTTCATCAACAACTACAACATCAGCCCCGTGGAAGTGCCTTTTGGAGGGTATAAGATGTCAGGTAGGGTCTTGGAAGGCTTAAATAACTTCCTGAGTGGAAGGAACCTCTGTTTTAACTATATGTCATTGTTGATGTGCCAGGCTTCGGCAGAGAGAACGGCCAGGTGACCATCGAATACTACTCCCAGCTGAAGACCGTGGTTGTGGAATTAGGCGACGTAGAGGAATACTTCTAAGATCATCAAGTTTACTCCTTCAAGCACAATCAATTAATGACTTCCTTTTACTTCTCCATTTATTACCTCGTTTGTGCCATATAAAACCCTTCTGCGTTTACAGACTTCTCGTACAGTTGGACCACAAGCTATGCCTAAAATGAGCTTTTTGAACAAGTAGTGATGTGAAAGTAAAAATGCACTCTTATCCAAATAAAAAATTTTGGTGGCAATGTATGTTCTTATAGTCTAATGATATGCCATGGAAATACTTGTATACTTTTTAGTGGTCACTGATGTGTTTGTGTTGCCTTTTGGCACTTTGCACTGGATAATCTGTTGGATTTCTCTCACAGCTTTGGAAAATTCTTTATCAAAATACAGGTACATCAAAATGTGGCTCTGTTGGCGTGCCATGACTTTTGGTCGTGGCACTTCTTGCATTGTAGATTATAGATATTTTGTTATTTAGGTATATTTAGACACCAATGGGATTTTGGCAAGATAAGTGAGAAACCTTAAACCTCTTGGGGTCTTCGTATTCCAAGTGTACTTCACTGCTGAAACATCAGTTAAAATGGGTCATGGACTTTGCATGACTCAAGTGGCATTTTTTAAGTTTTCACACAAACCTGTTTTTAAAATGATTGGATTTTACAACAGAATATTCAGCTCAGAGCACTTTGAGCTATCTCAATTCTCTCAAACTTCTTATTTTTACAGTTTACACTTGTACAGAGACACCCTGGACAGGTCTCCAGTCCATCACAGGACCACATAGAGACAAATGAGACTCATTATAGGGGCAATTTAGAGTTACCAGTCAGCCTAACAGTTTTTGGTCTGGTAGGAAACCAGAGTACCTGGACAAAACCCATGCATGCACGAAGAGGACATGCAAACTACCCAGAAAGACTCAGCAAGCAGGTCACCCTGGTTCAAATCCCAGCTGAGAGGCAGCAGTTCTACCAACTGCGCCACCGTGTTGCAACCTGTCACAAAACAGCAAATTGAAATTTCGTGAAACTCAAAAACATGGTGGTCTTGTTATCTTGCTTAAAAATAAAATAAATACAAACATTATACAAAATAAAAATGTGGATGATTATTTCTTGCGCCATTGTCTGCTTCACCTCCCAACATAAATATTGTAAAGGTCCTATGAGCTGCAGTGCTTTTTTTAAAGTCTCACTTATTCATTTACCGGAGTGTCCAGTATTGAACACGGTTTTTGATTTTGTAACGATACTTATGTGGAGAAGGGGAAAAAGTGTCGATCCTAATGTTGAACAGACTGATTTTCTGAATAAAAACACTTCAGTGTACAGACTAAATCAAATTAAATGTACGTTCATTTAAATATTAACACAAATAATGGAACTACTGCCAACAGTTTCAATTAGTTTTTTACACTTATCCTTACCAAAATGTTATGTTGGATTATTACTAAGGTAAGTTCCAAATTAATTTAGGTCTTTATACATGATTTGAGATGCTTTAGAAATTGTCTAGTTACAGGTCAGTATACTGTTTACTCCACAAAGTACAAATTCTAGTTAAATCTAAAATTCCCAAATGAAAAGTTATTTTAGTTGGTGTTATCTTGGCTGGTTGTTGCAAATCAGGTCTCTCTTGTAAATGAGTCCCTGAGGCTCAATGGGATTAACCTGTATAAATAAAGGTTGAATGAATTAAATGTAGAAATTTACACGTGAGGACCATTAAATGCAGATCTCAAAGTTGTCTCACATCAAATTCGATGTTAAATTGTTAACAGTAACATTTAAGCCCCTTTTTTTTTTTTTTTTTTACCATGTGCCAGGTCCTCTTAAGTCACAATTAAAAGATATCTCAAAATTGTGACTTTGCATCTCGTTTTGATGGCTTTTTTAAATTATAAAAGAAATGCGCTTCCAAAAAAAACCAAAACATTTGTTGCGCACATTTCACATAGAAACAGGAATAATATAGAAATTGAAAATAATAAAATGGATGCTGGGGCTTTCATAATGTCTTGTGGTAATAATCAGGCTTGCTTGTGTAAAATAATATTTGAACACTTTATTTATCGATAAGTGGGGCCGGGAGATAAAAAAAAAAGAAAAAAGGTTCGACACAGAGTGAGATACTTGGATCCTGGAGAAAAGTGTGGGCTCTTATTTTGAAAATTGAAATCCGGAAAAGGATTTAAGTTTCACCGGAAGCTGCCGGCTAGCTTGTAGCGCAACAATGCAGGTAATGCTCAAGAAATATGTTAAAAAAAATACAGATCTACAGTGCTGAAGTTCAGAACTAAAACTGATATAAGAACCACTTTTGTCTTATTTTTGTTTATCGTAACAATCATTGATTTAGCCTGTGGCGTTAGCTTACGAAGCTACGTAGCATGTAGCTTTCGTTATTAGCGAGTTTGTGCAGGTTGGATGTTTTGATGTGCTTTGCTCGTTTTATCCATTTTATAGAATCAAACGAGGTTTTCTTGTCTTTCAGCAACGAGAGGAGAAGCAGCTGGAAGCCTCAATGGATTCCCTCATCTCTCTGGTGGATCACGTGAAAAACGCTCTCCAGAGTTTCATCTATAAGCTGGAAAATGAATACGAGCGTTTGACCTGGTGACTAAAACATGCTTTATTATTTAAAGTCTTTACAGATACTTGTTTTTATGTATCAGGACATAATCAGGAGTTTCCAAGGTTCAAAAATTGTTCTGGTTATTATTAATGAAAGCATAAACTTTGTCGGATTGTTGGTTTTCAGCACACATCTTGTGTGTTAACACAACGCCATGGTTGAACAACACTGGAGAAGCTGCTATAGCTGCCCTTTAATTTGGTAAGGGTTAAAGGTCATTCTTAAACAATTTGTACTCATTCTACAGAGAGTAATATTATTTAGTGGAAGTGGAAAACATTTTAAGACAGCTTCCCAGGAGTGTACATGGCAGGAAATTCACCCCAAGGTCAGATCGTGTAATACTCAAAAACCCAAGAGCTCCACCTCGGACTCTACAGGCCTCAGTTTGCAGGTTTAAGGTGAAAGATTGTGACAGGATGATTAGAAAATAACTGAACAAGTACAACTTGTTTAGAATGGTTTCAGTAGAAACCTCTAAAAACAACATGTCAGCATGACTCTGAGTTTGGTAGTTTCATCTGAATGTAATGAATAAAACTCCTCATACTAAATCAAGCACGGTAGTGGAGGGCTGATAGTTTGGGATCCTTGCAGCCAATAACTAGGATTCCAGATGAGAGCTGCCTCTACAGAGTGAGCAGCAACGTTATAAAATCACATCAAGTGTGATTCCTTTCTGTTTTTGTAGAATTAAAATCTCAAAAACAAATGGTGATTTGAAATGTGCATATCTGTACTAGTATATCTTAAAATATGTTACTTTGTGTGTTGCTCTCATTTAGGCCCTCGGTTCTGGATAACTTCGCTCTCCTTTCTGGCCAACTGAACACCATCAATAAACTGCTCAAGAATGAGAAGACACCCTCGTTCCGCAGCCAGGTGATAATCCCGTTGCTCCTGTCTCCAGACAGAGATGAGGATTTAGCGGTGAGTGTCAGCATCTCCGATGGTTAATGTTTTTTTTAGGTATCCGTCTCTTATTGGTCTTTTTTTTAATTGCCTCTCAGAAACTCACAGAGCAGCGTGTCCCAGTGTTCAGCCATGAGATTGTCCCAGACTACTTGCGGACCAAACCGGACCCGGAGGTGGAAGAGCAGGAGAAGCAGCTGAGCACAGAGGCGGCACGCATCGGTCCTGATGTGGCTCAGGTGAGTTAGACCTTAGTCCTGGTGGATGCTGTTAGTTGTGGTGTTTGCACGTTCAAATGGATCAACACACTTTGTGTGTGTGTGTGTGTGAACAGAAACAGATCCAAATTCTGAATAAGATGTGCTCTAATCTACTGGATAAGCTGAACAACCCTCGTGAAGACAGAGACGCTGAAAGTGCTGGTGCGTTGCACTTTTCCTATATTTGTGCTCAGAGAAAAAACAACTTTTGTTTTAATATTTTCATGTTTTTTTTCCTTCCAGCATCACGACAGAACAAAGCGTTTTTCAACCCTGGTGATACCAACGCATTGGTTGCAGCTGTTGCATTTGGAAAAGGACTTTCCAAATGTAGGCCTCCTGGTCCTGTGGCTCCTGGACACCCAGGACAGGGGCCTATCATGGGTGGGGGTCCAACATTGCAACAGGTCACCATAGGAGGGGTTGTAGGCCAGCAAGCAGGTTTAGTAGGACCTGTGGCTCCACAGCAGCAAGGACAGCCAGGTAGGAGACCTGGTTTAGGATTTCCTCCTGGATCAGACCAGTTAAATCTGTAACAGCCAGCTCCAAAAAGAAAAAAAAACATCTGAGAGAACACAATGAAAAATATTAGTCAGGTGTTGTAGCTTTATTTCACCTTGGATAGCGAGGTTGATGTGGCAGTATGAAAACATTACTAATTAAAGAGGTACAGTCCGTTTTTACAGAGAAAACATGCTCGCAGAATGAAGGAGCAAAATCTAAAATGCTCAGTTCATTGCGGAGAAATAGAAATGCTTTCAACAAACTTGTAAAGTTATGTAACATAAAAAAACAGAATGCAATGATCTCATAAACCCATGATTTATTCACTGTTACACATGATGGCTGTAGGAAATTGTTACATTTCCTTTTAGAAAAAAAATCATGAATTTTGTGGCAGTAACATATCTCAAAAAAGTTTTTCCTCCTTGTTTCCTTCTGTGAAGGCTCCCTTCTTCTTTTAACAACTATCTGTAGTGATCAAGACCTGAGCGGAGTCGATGTTGGAGGTTCAGGAGCGAATGTTGTCCTGATGAAGGGTTCTAACTGTTCAACGGTCCTGGGTCTTCTCTGCTGCACAGGAGCAGATGTTATAAAACCTGGTTATACTTTTCTTTTTTTGCATTGATGGTGCCTTTCCAGATGGGCAAGCTGACCGTGCCTTTGGCAGTAATGCACCCCCATACCATTGGAAAGGCAGGCTTTTGAGCTGTGAGCTGATAATTAGGCTTGATGTTCCCACACTTCTTTAATACTGTAGTTCCCAAAAACAATGTCCAATTTGGTTTAATCTGACCACAGAACAGTTTTTCCACTTCGCCTCAGTTCATTTTTATAGAGTCCAGAGAAGACGGCAGCGGTTCTGGATGCTGTTCACATCTGGCTTCTTCTTTGTCTGATAGAGCTTTAAGCATCTGTGGAGTCTATTCAGTTCAGTTTATTTATATAACACCAAGTTGCAACAGAAGTCGTCTCAGGGCACTGAACAGAAATGAACTGAACTTTCAGCCTCGTCCTTTGAGCTCAGACTTCTGCAGATTCTTCTAATGTTTAGATGATATTATGAGTTTTAGATTAAATTATCAAAGTCTTTCCATTATTTCTTTTATTGAGGAACATTATTCTAAAAGTGTTCCACTATTTTTAGATGCAGTTTTTTTTTTTTTTTCACAGACTGCTAAACCTCTGCCCATCTTTACTTCTGAGGGGTTCAGTCTCTAAAATGCTATAATTAGTTGTTGTTTTTTCTTGTATCACTGTAACTTTACATCCTTCTGTTGCTCCTGTTCCAACTTTTTCTAGATCTCTTTCTGCCAAAAACTTCAGTCATCTCTATTTTCCTGTAAAATATGTATACATTTTAGTTTATACACTAAATACAGGTGTGTGACAAGTCACTGCATTCAGTTTTTAACATTTTATCGTCCCAGTTTAAACATCGGCCCAACGATTTAAGAAGTGAGGTTGTGCTTGTATTTACTTTCCAGGCAACAGATTTTTTACAGCACATGATGACACCGCATTAAAAACAAAACCGATTGTAACAGACTTTTAATACAAGTTTGTATTATATATTTTGAACCGTTATAGCACTTCATCATAACCTGTCAGACTTCAGAACACAGAGTTTATGATAAAATAAATGCTTACATTCAGATGTCAGGACCAGCCTGGAGCAAAGATTCTGACGTCTGGAAGTTTGAGTTGAACATTTGAAGCTTTACATGTGAAGGAAACCTTTGAGAACAGGTGATGTGGAGACACATGGTCCAAATATCTGCATCAGATTAGCATCTGTTCCAAGTTGATCACAAAACAAACTAGAGAATTTGCATTTCCTGCAAAAATGCTGTGCGAATGCATATTGCTGAATAACTTGCTGAAAAACAGCTGAAATAAGCTTAAAAAAACATGCTGAAGTTGAGCTGAAATGAAAGAACAAGTCTAAATCATCAGAAGAAAGCAGAAAGAAAACTATTTGCTGAACTATAAGCAAAAACGAGCACAATAGTGGAAATAACCTGGAAAAAAGCATAAATGAGCAAAAAAACAGCTGAAAAGTAGCTAAAAAACAGTAAGAAGATTCAATTAGCAGAATGAAGTGGAGAGAACACAAATTTTGCACCATTACGCTGAAAGATGCAGAAATGAGCACAAAATGTAAATTATCTAAAAAAAGGAGAACGAGGCTGATATTATCAGAATGAAGTTGAGAGAGCACATTTTTGCTGAATTAAGCTGAAAAAAATAGAAATTAGTGCAAAAATTGTGGAATTAGCTGAAAATGCTAAAATGAGCATAAAACAGCTAAATTGTAGCTGAAAGAGCAGAAAAAACTGAAATTAGCAGAAAGAAAGAAGAAGCACAAAAATGAAATGTTAGCAGAAAGAACCTGAAAGGAGCACAAAACAGCTGAAATTAGCTTAAAGGAGCTGAAAATGTTTAAGCTTGCACAAGGAAGCTGAAAGAACAAAATGTGAAAGGAGCAGTAAAAGGTTGTAAACAGATCTGAAGGGAGGTAAAATGAGCTCAATTCATTTTCTGTGAGAAGAAAAATGGCAGAAAAGGCTAAATATTTAAAAAAAAGCTAAAGTTGCACCGATACCAAAAGTATAGATAGCACTCTTGTCCCGAACGAGCTGAACATTTTGATTTATGATTTGTTGAGACAGCACAAAAATAGTGCAACGAGAAAGATGCTGGAAAACGTACAGAAGAAGAACGGGTCATGGTGTGGATGCTTCGTGAGCGTTCACACAGTGAAGTTGATCCGTTGTCGTTTCTCCCTGCAGGAAAAATGCCGAGCAGCATCAAGACCAACATTAAATCTGCGTCGGGTTCAATGCATCCTTACAACCGATGAGGCGCTCCGCTTCAGACCGGCTCAGACACTGAAGGTTCGGTCATGCTCTGTCCACACGTGTCTCCGCTCCACGATGTGCTGCTTTCATGTGAAGCCGTCCCTCTGGAAACTGTCAGCCAGGGACTAATGGACGTGAAGCTGCCTTTCGGTGAAATCTGTTCCGGACTGTGGCCACCAGATGGCAGGGCGTGATCATTTACAGGCCGACTGCATCTTCATATGAAGGCATGGTTCACTTTTTCTCTGAATAATCTGCTCGCACACTGATGAGACTAAGAAGATGTGTTTGTTCATGAAAACAGAAATAAAATGCTTTTCCTTCGATTCTTCACACACGATGATGTGACGTGCGCCTTTTAGCTCTGACATTTCTCCCTCCGCTCGCTGTTGTTTTGGTTGCAGCACCAAGGTGAGAATAATCAGGGCGGACATGGCTCTGTGTGGCCTGATAATGTCAGAGTGTTTATGGAGGAAGGAGAGAGGATCGTTGCTGACATGTGAGGAAGGCCTCTGCCTCCGCACCGGCTCTTTGTCCACTCAGATCCAGCACGGGGACCGCGCTGCCGTCACAGCGTGCGGGCTCGTGGCTGACCTACATACACCCGGCGTGCCCGAACGTCTCGCTGTGCCAGACGCTCTGCTGAGACGGCTCGAAGCTGCACGAGCTCACACACGAGTTCACACAGGAGGTTCTCCCGCCCCCCCCCCCCCCCGTGCACACGTTTCGATTAGAGGCAGATCTACACCTGTAATGTTTCCATATTGAGTGGTGTCTCTGAGGACGCTCCGCTCGTTTAGCAGCTCCTCGTTTGCCCTGTGGATCCACCGATGATCTGTGTGATGAAATAAATCCAGAATATACATTTATATATAAAAAACATACTGAAACATGTGAAACCAGATGGATAATTATAAAAAAAAAATACATTTTTGTTGCTGTCAGTTTAAATTGGACTAAACTTTTTTGTTTTACGTTGGTTAGGATTCCCAACTTTATTTGTTTGCTTGTATATTTTTTACTATAACCATTTTGTGTTGCATTAAACCTGAAACAAAGATATTCATTCAGCTTTATTGTGCACACATTGTGACCTTTTTCCTCCCTCCTGCAGGCCAAGCCTGAAAACACACACCATCACCACAATTTATTATTATTTTTTAACTGCATAAAAAATTGAACCAGGCAGGGACACAACTTTCTGGATTAGATTTTTTAATTGATTTGAAGCAATAATACAATCAGATTAACAAAGTTAAAGGGGGAAAAAAGTGAAATAGTAAAAATGAGATGTGTGTGTATATTCACACCCTTTTTGCTTTAAATGCCCAAACATCTCAGAAGCCACAGAGTTAAATAAGATCCATGTGGTGATGGAACAAAGAAAATAGTCCCTCCATGTTGGAGGCCATGTTTCCCCTCTTGTTTGTAGTTTTTTTTGTGCTCATGAGTCTGAATCACCAGAAAATGTCTGCAACTCTTTTTTCAGATTGTCCAAACTAAGCAGCAATCTTAAGTATTGAAGGAAGTTCCATTAGGAGGGACTATTTTGTGGGTAAATAATTCTGGAGCTGCTGCATGAGCAACAAAAGGAGTCGGCCTGTCTCTTATTTTCACGTTCTTATCCTAACTAATCACTAAAATAACAGTTATTTTCCTAATGGAAAGGAAAGTTCAGTCGGCCTGTGGAAAGGGCATTTCTTTTCTAAAAATACAAAGATGGAATCTGTCATTGCAGTTATATACTAAAGTTGAGCGAGGCACAAGGTCTGAAGTGTTACAAAGTTCTTTTGTTACATATTAAACTGGAAGTTGCTACTTTTTTCTCCTCCATCGCAAAGTGAAGAGGGGAGCTGGGAATACCTCCCATCCATCTTTGAGCTGGACAAACTTGAGAAATACGTGAGGTACAGACTTCCACCGTTGGTGTGTGTTCCTAACAAAATCCAAGATGGCTGCTGCCATGTATGACCTTTAGCATTACCGTCCTGCGAGCATGATAGCAACGTACCAACTTCTATTTTGGTGTGTGGCTGCATCTGGGCATAAGAAAGGTCAGGATGAAAACTGCGTTACCACGTCAAAATTAAAGATGGCTGCCACCATATGTATGTGGTGATGGTGGTGGTGGTGGTGGTGGTGGGGGGTGTAAACCAGCCACCCCTAAATTTGAAGAGCTTTCTAGTTTGGTACCACTTTACAATAAGATTCCCTTATAGATGGTTAATAATTAGTTTATAGATACATTATTAATTCTTCTATAAACACTTTATAAATCATTAATAATTGTTTATTATTCATTAATTAAAGGTGACGGAGACAAAACTGACCAGTTTCCTGCCAAATATTGAGCCAAATCTGTTCACCTATATATTTCATCTAGAGTTGTTATATTAAACATTTGAGACTAAGTTACTACCTTGTAAATACAATAAGCATTTGTAAACCTGTTTCTTTAGTGTATAATATTATACTTTATCACTGCATTATAAGTATCTACAACTAATATAATCTTAAAGGATTAGGTTAATATGATGACTAGATGAAATATATAGGTGAACAGGTCTGGCTCACTATTTGGCAAGAAACTGGTCAGTTTTGTCTCTGTCACCCTTAATTAAAGCATAATAAACAATTATTAATGATTTATAAAGTGTTTATAGAGGAATTAATAACGTATCTATAAATTTTATTAGCCATCTATAAGGGGGGCCTTAGTTTTCATATTGCTTAAAAGTTATGGGGTGGCTGAAGGATACTCTACGGGGGCCACGGCCACCATTACCCCCCCCACACACACACACACACACCATCACTACCACACTCACACTTCCTCCATTGCACCTGGCCGAGGATAAATGGTGGATCCACTGTAATGAAAAATCTCTGTCTCCTCCACAGTGTAACTCCTGCCCACTTGAATATCTTCCACCAAAAACATTTAGGTTTACTTCACTGTCTGTTCAGGTCCTGCCCAGAAAAACACTCATCTGGAGAACTACAAACGTTCACTGTTCAGATCCCTCAGAGACGGGGACTTTGGCGTGCTGCTTGTTTAGTAATAAAAGCAAAGTATTTCACAAGACAGGAGACTTTTTAAATGTAGAACTGAACATTTTAAACAATACTTGGTGCTGCTGCTGATGGACACGAGTGTGACAGTTTCTATTTTATTTTAAAGAGCTTAATTATGCAGAGCATCTCCTGGCATGATTTAAAGTGTTCCCACTTGTCCTGTAATTTAAGAAGATGCTAAAATCCAAACATCTTTATAATTATGCAGGTTTTATGCTAATATATGTAGCAGGAAAAAACAGTAAATTTTTAACCCCTCACACCCAGGAGTGACTCAGTGTACGGTAAAACTCAATGACACGCTCCACTGTTAGGAAAACCTGAAAGGTGAAGTCTTTTCCAAATGTCGTCATGAAAGTTAGGATCAGAGGAATATATTGAAATTCTGTGGGTGGCTACAAGAACAGAGGTTCTGCCAAACAGAACCCTTTCCAAATCAGCAATCTGCATCAGAGTCTCAAACACTCCAGATGTCAAAAACATTTTATTCACCACGAACGTTAACCACTATTCTTAGCTGCAGTTTTTCAGACTGGTGGACCTCTGCCCATCTTTACTTCTAAGAGGTTCAGCCTCTCTGAACCTGTTCACAATGAACTCCAATAGTAGCTCCTCCACTGTTACAACCTTCCGTTGCCCCCCTTTCAACTTATAAATGTGTTGCTGTCATAAAATTCATAATCATGTCATGTCCCCCACTAAAAAAAAAAAAAAACTTTGTTAAAGATGTAATTCACCTTCATCCAGCTCTTTCGGGAGATGTTCAGCTTGCAGTATGAACAGATTTGTTTGCAGCAGATATGACCACTTCAGAACCGTTGTCTCCGGGTCAAACCTCGTTTGTTCAAGCAACAAGAATTCAAAAAGAGCGTGGAGTCCTTTCACTGTGAATGGGATTAGCAGCTTTTGATAGGGCCATGAATAATTTCAGGCACTTCCTGACAGAAGCAGGAAGGCCCAGCCATATAATTACATGTGATTGTGTTTGCGTGTCCCTCCCACGGTCCTCTGATTTTGGATGCTTCTGGGGAACCTCGTCCTAATCCACAAGTTAATGTTCAAAGCCCTCTTCCTTTTCCAGCAGAGGGATGAATCAGACATCCGGTGTGCTCATCTGGAGGAGAAAGATAAGTGTGGAGTGGCTCTCTGCTCTGCCAGGGGAGGCACATTAACCATGCCTCCAAGGGAGCACCCGGTGTGGGGGGAGGAGGCGCCTGTCTGCAATGAGCGCACAGCTTTCACTCACTTCAGAAGCTGTGAAAATGCCCCCCTCCCTCCTCACACCTTCAGCCGGGTGCTGGTGAACTTGGACTGAAGACATGTCCTGCAGGGACTCGTGAAGTCTGCGCTGAAGCCACTCACACACTCCAGGCCTGGCAGGTCTCAGAGGAATGCATATCGCCCGCCAGTTTTAGGCTCTGTTTACACGAGAACCACCTCTGCAAACATCAGTGCTTGTTCCAATGATTATTGGGGCAAATAAACAACAACAACAAACAAAGAGCATGTTTACCAAGCCAGGCAGGGTTGCCAGATAAGAAATTAACTATCGTACGCCATTTTCAAACTATCATCCGTGCTGAGTGAGGGTGTTGTTTGGTGAACATGTGCACAGAAATGGGGGTAAAACGACAGATTTATGTTTATCTGGCAACCCTGACCAGGCTTAGCTCAGTGAGCTCAGTTAGAGCCATTTTTGTGTTTGCAAAGGCTGCTCAGGTGTGGCGGCCATAACTTTCTGAAAGTTTTATTAAAATCTGGCCAGAAGTGTCTTGAAGTATTTTGCTAACAGGTATATGGAGTTGATGTGAATGTTTAAAGCTTTAATGTCACACTGTGTGTGGCGCTCGGGGTAAGTGATGGAGATGATGCTCAGCTACTGAAGATGAAGGTTTGATTACTGTTTGAAAGTTTCATTGAGGTCATTCCACCGGGTGATGAAATATTCAGATAGTTCACTAACAGACACAAACAGAGATGAAGGTAAAAACATTGTTACCTTCAGAGCAGGGGATAAGAAAATGGAAGCGAACGCATTAAGAAACTTTGGGTTTGTGGTTCTGCTCGGTTCCTTTGACAGAATCAGACAAGTGAGACCGGCCCAGAACAAAAGACGAGTTCTTTTATTGATGAGCAAAAATCATGCAACAAATCAAACATCTCATGTTATTACAAACGCTTCAGAGTCCTTTTACTTTCCAAAAGATGAAGAAAAAAGAAGTGGGAAAGGCAGGTGGTGGTGGGGTGGTGTGTGTCAACTTGATGCTCAGCCTCATGGGAGACGAGATGTCAGGAGTGAGGGCTGTGGACGACTCTCAGTTACTACCACACCAAATGCAGCTCAGCATCCGTAAAGCTGACTGTGGCGGCCATCTTTGTGCTGACTCTAAAACAGAATCTAATGTTCTGAGTGATGCTAACAGACATCAGCAGCTGTTGTGTCTGCTGATAAAACATGAAAGCAGGGGGTTTACGGCTGTTTGTGAAGTGTCAGGTGGAGCGCAGCTAAAAGTAAGGTCAAAGGTCAACGCTCGGCATCATCCTCGGGACACATGCTTGTGTTGGCCAAGTCAGAAAACTGAATCAAAGATGCAACAAAAAGTAAAGATGCGTGTCTACACGAGGTTCTGATCCACAGAAAATGGAGACACTCGGTCAGAGCAATAAAAAACAAATGTGATTTATTCACAAAACGGAGAGAGGAGTCCGTCCAAAGGATCCGAACGGTGCCGTCAGAGAACCTTCAGAAGCCCGTCTGGATTCTCACCACATTGTTTTGGTTCTGAATACAGAACCATTAAGAGAATTAAGAGATAAGAAAGCACAAATAAAATACTTCTGTTAAAAAAGCTGATCCCAATGTTAGAAACGTCGGCCATTTCTTTTTGTTTGTATCAAAGTGTGTAAACGTTGGCTTCCTGAGCGGACCAGAACCATGTTGGACCACGCCTGACTGCGCAGAACTCAGCTTCTCAGTTTGGCTTTGATGTAGATGAAGGATGTGGGCAGTTTGAGAAATGTCCGAGCTGTCAACAATGTAGGTGAAGGGAGCAACTCTCAGCTACTACCACACCAAATGTAGCTCGGTATCTGCGAAATGGACCGAGTTATTGTCATTTTTGTGTCCTCTTCAGGTTTACTACAAACATTAATGACTTGCAGCTGTAAATAGTTGTTTCCTGAAGTTTTCACTACAACCCATCCCTTTGTGAGATGTTTTGCTAACAGACTACATTCTAAGCCTCACGGCATGCTTGGACATCAGTCTTATTTCCATGTGCACAAAGTGTCCCGGGTGTTTAAAAGGACAAACTTTGCTCCTTTGAGGCTCGATATAAATTCAACAGTATTCGGGTACCGTGACGTCACTCAAACATTCACGGTTTCCTCTGTTCAAAGGCTTCGTGTTCATTTGATTGGTCGCTGCTGTCAGCCGTCGTCGTCACCAACATCCAGTTCCAGTTTGTGCTGTGAGTGTCGGCTCTTCAGCTCCGAGTCTCCTCTCTGTGACAGGAAAACATACAGAACCTCGACCTTTGTCACCAACTTCAAAGGATTTCACTGGGATGTTCTGCAAAAAACACCATTTAGCACACATATCCTGATGCATGCTCAATAATCCAGGTAGAAAAATCCAAAAAAGTTCAATCTGAGCTGAAAACAGCACCTCAGACTGAGGAAGTCTCTTGGATGAGAGACGAAACGTTTCTAGATTTTTTTGCTTTGTTTTGTTTTTTTTGAATGTCCAGAGGACCAGATTGAACTTTTTTTGGCATTTAGCACACAGTTGTGAGGTGGAAGGAAAATGAATCAAGTTTTCAAACTAACAACGTGAAGCGTGGCGAACATTGTTCTATTTCCCTGAGTGAACTTTTAGTGGAACCACCATTCGCTGGACGTTCTTGGACTATGTCTACTGAGGCTGAAGCTTTGGCCCATTCTTTGTAAAACAGCTGCAGCTCAGAAGTTCCTCTGGTCTCTGCACTGAAGGCTGCCTTTAGATCCAAATGACCCACAAGGCCTCAGGTAACAGAGGCCTTTTTGACCTAAGGACAGCAGGAGGGTTAAAAAAAAAAAAATCTCCACAGCTGAACGCTGGACAAGTTCGGAGTTTCATTCCCTGCCAACCAAGGCGGAGGGATTGTTTCCCCCCAAAGCAGGTGGAGGTGCAGAGGCAAAGTACCAGGATGTGTTGATCACCAGATCAACAAACTCTCATACATACTACGAGCCGCAGAACCTCTGATCAGAACCCCAGCACCTGCCCAGCTGGACCTACACTTGGCTCTTTGGGCTGAACTTTGACCAGATATCGTTCATTCAACCTTTATTTATACAGGTTAATATTAATATCATCCCTCGACTCATCTGTGACCTGAACTGCTTCATCTGAGCCAATCAGTCGGTGCAGAGCGGCGCAGCACTTCCTGTCCTGTAGGTGACGGAGGGCAGGCACACGCTAAGGATAAAAAAAAGTGCCTGCTGAGTCCTGGTCTACTGGACTGAACCAGCTCAAAGATGGGGGGGGGGGGGGGGGGGGGCAACTAAAACAAATGAAACTAGAGGAAGTGCATTTCCTGTGAACATGCAGTGTGAATACTTAATGCTGAAAGATTTCTGCTGAAAACCTTTCCTCTCTAAATTGTTAATGTGGGGGCAGCTGTGGCTAAAGGGTTAGAGCAGTCGTCTTCCATCGCAAGAGTTGGGGGTTCGATTCCACCAGAGGTCACATGCTGAAGTGTCCTTGGGCAAGACACTGAACCCCTCATTGCCTCCAATGTGTGTCCCACAAGTGTATGAATGTGATAAGTCACTGATTAGTTTCTTTAGAACGATTTGTTCACTTAGCTTTGTAGAGATCTAGTAGAGTGCTGTATGAATGGGTCAATGAGGGACAGATTGTTGTGTGAAGCGCTTTGAGTATCTTGATTAGATAGAAAGGTGATATATAATTACAGTCCATTTAATGTGAGCTGAATTTGAACAGCTCAGGAAAATAAAAGCAGAGAAAAATGGCAGAATAAGTTGAAAAAGGCTGAAAATTTTTACAAAAAATCTGAATTGAGCAAAAAAAATAAATAAAAAATCCTGAAACTAAATAGCTGAACACACTAGCTGGCTAGGCTAAAATAGCTGAATTTAGCAGAAAGAAGCTAAAAGGAGCACTGAAACACTGAAATTATTCAAAAGAATCACAAAAGGCAAGTATTAGCAAAATATAGCAGGAAAAAAGGCAAACATTATTAGAAAAATACCTCAAAAGTAGCTGAAAAGGCAGAACAACTAAAACGAGCAGTAAAAGGTTGTAAGGGTTTGAAGGAGGTGAAGAGAACTCCATTCATTTTCTATGAGAAAAACATGGCTGACAAAGCTAAATACTTCAAACAGTAAAAAGTGCACAGATACCAGAAGTCCCAGCAGGAATGTCCTGAATGAGCCGAACGTTTTGATACATGAATTGTTGAAACCGAACAAAGATTGAGGAGCGGGTTGAAACACGCAGAGCAGAAACCTGGAGCTGAAAAACATCAATAAACACCGCAGGCTTTGAACTGAAAACTTTATTCTGAGTCAAAAAATGGGGCAGAAAAAACACAAGTTTGTCGTCGTGCTTTAAAAAGAGGGGGAGCAGCTGCTGCACGGAGCAGCAGCCTGAATACTCATCACGGGGTTTTACTAGTAAAAAAATGTTGAAAAGCACGTCTCATTGTCCTTCCACATCACCTTTAGTTTGTGTTCATGTCCCACTTCATCAAAGCACAACAAGTTCTCTTACAAGACGAAACTCATCCATAGCTGCAGGAATCAAGGCTGCGAACTTCAAAAATGTTTGTCCAGTTTAAAGAGTGACAATTTACAGCGGCGTACAACGTTACCTAACGTGACGGAGAAGATAAAAACAAATCCACCTCCAGGGCTCAGCTTTGGTCGTAGATCTCATCTGATGTCATTAATGCGGGGGCGCTGTGTGCTGAAACGGGGGGCAATTATCAAAATGTGTAAAAGTGAAGCATCGTGTTTTTTTTAATAGAGGTAGTGAGAGAGTTTCATTTCATGAGAGGCGGGGCAAACCGTGAGCTGACGCTGGGGGGGGGGTCTGACATTACGGACATCAAGTGGAAACTGTACAGAGTGAACACGAGGCCTTCTGCAGGCTGGTGGTCCGCACAGACAGGAAGTGGGATTTCTGTTCGTAATGTTTGGAAGCATCGTCCCCAGGCTCCAACCCCCCCCCCCCCCCCCCCCCGCTGCCTCACATCGCTTCCAGTCTCGTAAAGTTGGGGGGGGTGGAAGAGGAGGATCAGTTGGAGGTGTCGGAGTGAACGCTTCCAGGTCCTTCTGTTGGTGAAGTCACCGATGAGGGGGTTGCAGCGTCCGGCCAGCCCCCGTTTGCCTGCAGAGACCGGAGAAACACAACAAGCAGGAGGTGAGTGGACCGAGCTGTGACACGGAGGGGGAAGCAAAGTCCCAGCATGATGGTCATGGATAAATCCTGGAAACATCACAGTTGAACATGGCTTCGAGCCAGACTAACTCCTGGACTGGAACACAACACATTTAACTACAAATAAAGTTATTCTTCTTAAAAAGCACAAAAATAAAAACAGGTTTAACGGAGCAAACATGGAGCGTCTCAAACTGAGCGTCCTTCAGAGGAATGCATATCACCCGCTGCCTTTCATACCACACTTTGACCGCCCCCCCCCCCCCGGAGGGGTTTGAACAGTGAATGTTTCTAGTTTTGGAGATGAGTGTTTTTCTGGACTGGATTTGACCAGAGAATGAAGGAAACCTAAATGTTTTTGAAGCAACATATTCAAGTGGGGAGAGCTTACACAGGAGAAGAACAGTCTCGTGTTCACAACACGCAGAAACAGACAGACGGAAGGTCTTTCTAATCGTCCCTGTTCACTCTGCGGCGGGGGACAAGCTGAGGCTGTTTTGATCAACTTCTGTTGAGCTTTGCACGATCTCATGTTGAGACATGTTAGTTAAGAATTGATCACATGGACATCCAGGGATGAATCAACAGCCCGATCAACTGGCCTGATAAAAATGGCTGTAACTCGTCTAATTTGACAGATTCTGATCGGTAGTTTGGTGTGGTAGTACCTGAGCATTGTCCCCAACATGCACTCTGAGCACTACTCATTGCACAAGATCTTAGCATAAAGCTTTGGCAAAATATTTCATGAACTGCTGGATGAATCTTAATGAAAGTCATAAAAAGGTATTATTGGATGTTCGTAACGTTTGACGTCAACCCCATTCAAAATGGCCGCTACAGCTAATTGACCTTAGACAACGCCAAAATGACTTTAACAGAGTTCTTTTAAAGGATATTGTGGTCGCAGTTGAAAATCATTCATGACACATTGTTGGGCGAGTCACCCCCTCATTTCATAACACAACCAGATGTTGATCTCAAACTGTGGTCTGAACCGAGGCGAGCGATATGCACTCCTCCAAGGAAGTATGTGCACTTCTTCAAATACACATTCAATGAAAATTTGATCAAACAGCCTTTATCCAACCATACACTAATATGTAATTTAGTAGTCTTATTGCGTTGACATAATTAAAATATTTCTGGATTTAACAAGCGGAAGTTGTTATACAGGAAATGACCCGGACAAGCAAAGACCTTGTACATTTGTTGACCTCGGAGCTGAGGTGGTGGAACGTGTACCGACACTCCGTCTGCTGGTGATGCAGATGTGTGTGAAGCTTCGTTAAATTATCCTGAGCAGGTCAGAATTTATGGATGGGACAAGAGAAAGTTTCCATATTACATTTCAACGGGCATACAGTATAAAAACAATCTATTTGCATACTATTTTAAAATGTTAAATATTTTGTGTACTACACCATAAAAACACAACAAACTTCAAAATAAATATAACCTGAAAAAGGCTGTGCAGAGGATTGAATAAAAGAGAAAATGCCGTCATTTCCAATCCAGGGCTGCATAAACGGCAGGCAGGCAGAGTGGCAGACTGAGATCCGGCTCTTCCATTATGCATGGCGGGGCTTTTCTCCACTCTAAATGTGAAGAACAGAGTTTTGAGGCAGTAGAGGACGTGGTAGAGCGAGCAGGCGTCCAAGGAGAACTGCATGTTTGAGGGTCTGAATACGTTAGCGGGCCTCTCTGGGCTCACGCAGCCGGCTGCATCGCGGACCTCATCTACATACACGGCCGTGTTCTTACAGTATGCGGGAGACACTTCATCTGATTATCATATGGCCAGTGAGGCACGATGGTGACAGCGGAGGAAGCCGAGCGCGTCCGTGACCGTCGCTGTCAGGGCCATTAATGTGGCAGGAACATGATCGGAGCAATGCGCTTGGATTGCTGTCCCAAGTCCACACTCTGCTCTCCTTGTGTCTGTCTTATCGATTTTACCCTTTACGACACGGCTTGTCGCTGTGAATTTTCCTACTGTTCGCCGCCGCCAGCTAGCCAGCCCCCGCCCCCCTCCCCCCCCCCCCCCAAACCCCCCACTTCCACTTCCACACCCAAGCTCGTCTGTAAAACGAGAAGAAGAAAAAAATTGTTAAAACTCTCTTGTGCAGCTTTGTAAGATGTCACGCTCAAAGTGTGTGTTGACGATGACTCTCAGCTACTTCTGCACGCTTATTAAAAATCCACCCAAGATATTTTGCTAACAGACAAACCAGACTGATTCCAACAGCTAACGCCAAGGTTTGCTGTGTTGAGCTCAGTTTGGGTTGGGGACAATGCTCGGGTCCAAATTTCAGCTGAATGTCTTTAAATTTGGCTGTCATTGTGTTTTCCAAGGTCAGTGGCTGCGGCGGCCATCTTGAATGCAGTTAGCTCCAAACATTAGTCGGTTGTTCAGGGATACTGAATGTTTGTTTCCTGACGTTTTCATTCAAATGTGTTCAATGGTTCATTAGTATTTTGCTAACAGATCTGACTCCAACGTTAAATGCAAACTGGTCACACAATGAGTTGCACTTGCAGTATGTTTTGTGAATGACTCTCAGCTACTACCACACCGAGGCTTAGCACAATACTTGTAAAATGGGCTTACTGGAAGCCATTTTTGTTTTTTCCAGTGCCAGTTGGCTGTGGTGGCTATATTGAATTAGGGTGACTCCAAATGTTAACCAGTTGTAGAGGTACAGCTAATTTGTACTTTATTCAAGTTTCATTAAAATTATCCTGCAATTTATGATATATTTGTTAACAGACAGACCCATGGACAGGTAAAAAACATTATCGCCCCTTGCCTTTGGGTGGTGGGCGATAAAAATAATAACCTGCTCCTTTTGACACATGAGGAGGGGTTCCCAGCAGCGTTAAGTTTCATTTCCTGAGACGTTGTGGCGTGGCCTCCTGATAAGCATTATCAGCTGCTTCTGCCTCTGGGAACACTAATAATGGGTCCAGTGGAGCAGAGGGATCTGACGGTGTCACCTGTTTGTTTAGCTCTCTCAGCGGCTGGCTGTACAAGGCTGCAGGTGTTTGGCCGTACCTGATTGAACGTGACAGACTCAGAAGGTGGCTCTGTGTGTGCGTGCATGTCCAGAACCACAGCAGTGTGCTGCCCATGGCCCAAGTGAAACAGAAGCCATCAACTAGGTGACCATGGAGCTGAGACAAGTCGCACTAAGTGGCATTCTGAGCCCTATGGCTCCAAAATAATTGGTAGGGAGAGAGAGCGCTGAAAGAGGAATGCTTACATTGATGCCCTGTGGACTGTACATCTGGTTGGCTGTGAGTCCTTCACTGAATCCGCCTGTCTGACTGATAACATGGCGAAGCGTATCCACCTGAAACATTCAGAAACAGCAGACAAAGCAAGGTCAGAGGCAACACAGAAAGCCCACGAGAACAGAGAGAAGGACAACAGGAAGAGACAACGCTGCTGCAGGGGATGTCCTTGCAGATTACAGGCTCGATCACATCAAAACGAGTACTCAGAATAAAGAAAAGCTTTCTTTATGTTGGCTAAAAAATATTTACAAAAAGAGCACGACTCTGAAACCTTCTCTCCATTGGCTCCCTGTTAAATTCAGAAAATAATTAAAATTTTTACTTCTAACATACAAAGCGCTCAACAACTTAGCTCTCTCTTACACTACAGATCTTATTGTTCCATATTTTCCTAACAGAGCACTTTGCTCTCAGACTGCAAGTTTACTTTAGTTTACTTGTGGTTCCTAAAGTTTCCTAGAGAAGAATGGGAGGAAGAGCTTTCAGTTATCAGGCTCCTCTCTTGAGGATCAAACTTCCAGTTTCTGTCTGTGAGACTGACACATTGTCTACTTTTAAGACTAGGCTTAAGCCTTTCTTTTTTGATAAATCCTATAGTTAGGGTTGGCTTTGGTTCCCTGAGCTATCCCTTAGTTCTGCTGCTATAGGCTTAGACTGCTAGAGGACAAACTGACCACATGTCCTCACTCTGCTTCTAGCCTTACTCTCTCTGCTCTCTGTGTTAATAAATGCAGTTCTTGCTTCCATTTACGTTTTTCTTTGTTTTCCTATATAAATTACACTTGTACCAATCCTTCTATGTTTATTTCTCTTTTTCCTGTCCTGTCTAACCACCACAGGTCTCAGCGGAAGCCCACCCATCCTGATACTGGTTCTGATGTTACATCTATAATGTATGACAAGTCAAAGACAAAGCAGTTGGTCTTCCCTGCATTATCTCCTCTGCTGAGCCCTACCTGCGACTGCACGTTGGCTCCCACCTGAGCCCCCTGGTACGAGTCCCCATTGAGAGACTGCACGCTCATGAACAAGTCCCCCGAGTTTGACATGTTAAAAGAGCCAGCAGAACCTAAAAGGAAAGAATCACAGAGAGACAGAAAGCCATTCAGCCCATCCAGGCAGCATCTGGGAGGAGCAGCATGCAGAGGTTAGTTAACATCGACATGCTGTTAAATTAGAGCAGTGGTTCCCAACCATGGTCCTTGATGAATGCCATCCTGCATGTTTTAACTGTTTCCCTGCTTTGACACACCTGATTTGAATGAATGGGCGATTAACAGGCTTTGTCAAAACTTCAGGAAATAATAAAATCACTGAATCAGGTGTGTTGGAGCAGGGAAACAACTAAAACATGCAGGATGGCATTCCTCAAGGACCATGGTTGGGAACCACTGGATTAGAGGAGCAAGCACAGGAAATTGATGAGCTCTATGTCATATAGAAGTTTTAGCAGCAAATAGGCAAATCATTTGTACATTAGTAAAAATAAATTAGTGATAAAGCAGTCCAACATTATGAAAGTGTGCTCATTTGTTGCATCCAGCATCAAAGTCACATACATGTGGTTTAATACTGTGCAGTCTACATTGTTTAACCTCGCTAATCATCAAAACATCAGAAAAACTCCTCCTGTCCTATTATGCAACAAGCTACTTTAAATGACTAGTGGCTTTTTTGTGTTTTCTTTGATGTTTTCGACACTCGGGTAAAGAGTGAGGAAGAGCGGTCAACTGATCACCACCTGATGGTGAGTTGGGTACAGTGGTAGGAGAGGCTGCTGGTAAACCAAAACACTTAATGAGGGTGAACTGGGAATATCTGGTAGAGACCCCTGTCAGTGCAAGCCTTCAAATTACAACTCCAGGAGAGTTTCAAGGGCATAGAATCTGAATGGACCACGTTCAAGGCTTCTATTGCAGATGCTGCTTCCAGGAGCTATGGCCTGCAGGGCACTTGTACCTGTCATGACAGCAACCAAAGGACCAGCTGGTAAACACCAGCGTTAATGGCATCCATTAAGATGAGGAAGGAGACCTTTAGAGCGTGACTGTCCCGTGAGGACATCTGTAGCAGAGGTGGTCAGAAGGACTGTGGCTTATGTGGTTGCATGGGAGGCATTTGAAGAGCCCATGGAGAGAGACTTTCAGTTGGCCTTGAGGAGGTTTTGGCAACTTGTTTGGTGACTCAGAAAAGGAAAGCAAGCCCCATCCAAGGCTGTGCTTTGTTTAGGTGGGGAACCACTGATCCAAACTGGGGATATTGTTGAGCTATTGAAGGAACACTTTGAGGACCTCATCAATCTGTCTACCATCTCCTCCTTTGAGCAGACAGAGTCTAAGGACTCAGGGAAGACGGGTTCATTAAAATGGCTGAAGTTATGGCGTTCTCTATGGTGGAAGGGCACCAGGAGTGGATGAGATCAGTCCTGAGATACTGAAGGCTCTGGGCATAGTGGGACTGTCATGGTTAACACATCTCTAAAATGTCGCATGAAGGACTGGGACAACACCCGTGGAGTGGCAGAGGTGGTTCACATTTTTAAAAGCGGGGTTGGAAAGTATGTTCCACCTATCGAGTGATGAAACTTCTCAGCCTCCCCAGGAAAGTTTACTCCAGTCTGTTGGAAGGGAGGCCCTGAATGATGGTCAAACCTCAGATTCAGGAGGAGCAGTGTGGCTTTTGTCCTGGTCATGGAACAGTGGACCAGATCTTCACCCTTGCAGAGTTGCCAAAGGTGTCATGGGAGTCTGACTCTTCAGTCTACATGTGTTTTGTGGACCCAGAGAAGGCTTATGACTGTGTTCCCAATAGCCTTCTGTGTGGAGAGCTATGGGAGTATGGCATGACAGGGTTGCTGTCAAGGGCCATCCAGTCCCTGTAGAACCAAAGCAGGAGCTGTGTCCACATTCTTGGCTCAAAGTCAAGCTCGTTCTTGGTGAAAGTTGGACTTGGCCAAGAGAGTCAGCTCCTCTAAGTCTGAGGCCATAGTTCTCAACTGGAAATGGGTGAAATACCCTCTCTAGATCAGGGGGATCTGGATCTTGTTCCTTGGTGATGGTAGGCTGGAGCAAGAGATGGATCAAGGAATTGGGTTTTTGTTCTCAGTAATGATGACATTGCTTTGGTCTGTTGTGGTAAAGAAAGAGTTGAAATGAAAGACAAAGCTCTTGATTAACTGGTTTGTCTACATTCAAACCCTCACACTATAGTCAAAGGTATGAATCGGGACCAACATAATGTGTTCCCAAATGCAAGTGTCTTAAAAGAGTTTCCTTTGTAGGGTAACCAGGTTCAGCCTTACAGAGAGTTGTTCAGGGGGAGCTTGGAGTAGAGCCTCTGGATCTCTGCATCAAAAGGAGTCAAGGTGGTTTGAGCATCTGATTTGGAATCCTCCTGGATGCCTTTCTTTGGAGGTTTTCCAGACATATCCCACTGACCCTAGTTTAGACCCAGAACTCGCTGGTGTAATTATATATTTCTCTGGCCTGGGAATGCCTTGAGGGCTCTTAGGAGGAGCTGGAGAAAGTCACTGGGGAGAGGGAGGTCTGGATTTCTCTCCTGGACCTGCTGCCTCTGCGACCAGCCACAGAAAAGTAGAAGTTGGAGTATTTTCCAGACTGGTTATGACTTGTAAAAACATTTACGACTCACTGAGGGGGGTGTCTTTATTTAAGCCACTGAAAGCTACTTTTTCTGGTTTGGCTAATTTCACTCTAAATTAAACCAGCAATCAAAACATTTCTCATAAGGTTTTAAAAGATGAGTCTGGTGTTTTTTAATTTTTTAATATTTTAATATTTACAACATGTGAAGATAATTTTACCAATAAGTTTCTCCAAGAAGCCAAGCTCCAAAAAGACCCAGTTAGCATTTCTATCATTAAGCTACAATTTCTCAGTAGAGATCGAAAAATTGAAGGTTTTAATAAAGTTATGCAATATTTACTAGAGACTATAGAAGAATGCAGCTCCAATGACAGAAACGTACTAAATTACTGTATAACTTTTTTCTTTTATTTTTTTTTCTACTCTTACTTTCTTCTCCTATATACGTCACAGTCTTAACATTCAGTTACAAATTTAGAAAATAATTCTAAGGTAAATTTTTGTCAAAAATGTTTCAAACAGGAAATAAATACATTTTGTTTTGATTCCTAAAAATGAGTTAGATACAACTTATTGTTGGTTTATCTAAATATTTAGATGCTGACATTTTATTTTTCCACTTTTATTATTAAGTGAAAACTTTTATTTATTATAAATCATTTGAATATTAGTTGTTTTCACTAAGCTATTTCCAACAGAAAAAAACCCTCCAATATGGCAAATGGTTATAATCAATACACCAAATAATGGCTTTACTAAAAATACAAACTTTTAAACACAATTAACATGATTTTTCTTTCAAAAATCTACAAAAATGCACTAAACTGAGACTACAATCTGTATGACAAAATGTCTAGCTAAAAATACAAATATACTGCATACAGCACAACAAACGCAAAAACCTTGTACAACAGTTGACCTTGACCTTAAAGCTGGGGTAATGAAATGTCTATGTGACACTTCGTCTAGGGATGATGCTAAAATGTATGAAGTTTTGTTAAATTTTCTTGAGCTCATCAGAAGTTATGGCCTGGACAAAAGAAAGTTTACGAGCATTTGGACATTGACGAGCATATAATAATAAAAATAAACAATTTCTTGGAGAAGGTTAGTGGAGAAATTCACTGTTGAATTTACATAACTTTTATCTTAAATCCAAAATATCACCAGACCAATCTTTTGAGAACAGATCATAATTATTACAGAGATTAAAAAGACATACAGTACATGAAGAATATGTTTACTGAGAACAAGAAAAATAGGAACCAAGCATATGGAGACTTGTTACTGGGCTCAGGTTGGTTAACTCTGGTAAAGCTTTGCTCAAGATTGCTCTAGAGCTGTAGCTGGGTAGTTATTAAGGGGAAACATTACATGTATTTATGAAAAAACGTGCATTACCAGAGAAAAGGCATGTTCAGTTTACAAGAACCGTTTTAATCTTTCATCCTTTACAAATGCTAGCATCAGCACTGAAAAAGCCTTAAATTTCTCGCGTGATGCACAGAGAGGAAGTACATGTCTAACCCTAGCACGGCCAGGGACTTCCTGTCTCACCTGCAGAGTTTGGAGTGGAAGGAGAATTTGCTTGGCTTCCATGTGAGGATGCATTAGCCGCATTCACGGCAGTTCTCGCAGCGTACATGTTGGCTTCTTCTTGGAACTTACCAATGTTTTTCTTGTATCTGATTCTTTTATTCCCAAACCAGTTGGAAACCTGAGCAGACAAACAAAAGAACACAGTTCACTCTGCAAGACACAGAACAACACAAATCATAAAAAATAAAAAAAACACAAACAAATCATGGCTTTTTTTCTGCCTGCATGAACATTAAAGCTGGTATCTCAAGGGGTTGCAACTGTTGGAGAGTAGATGGTAAAAAAAAAAATATGCAAGAAAATATGCACATTTTCAATTAAAGTCTCACTGATTTGTGGAGTGTTTGTGGCCAAGCAACCAACAGGCAGCAAATTCTTTAAAATCACATCCTTTGTCTATGAGCACATCCTGTAAAACTGTAGGCCAAACATTATTAAGTTTGCCCACATCATACCCACCCCACCTTGGCCCACTTTGTACGCACCTTGACAACCGCCCTCACATTTCTAATTTAATCTACCGGAGTACCCTTTAAAAATGAGGCTGAGCAGCTTTGAACCAGCTTTTAAATTATTATATATCCACGGTGTGTTTAAAGCTGGGCATTCAGGGTCGTAGCCTCGGATGTTTTCAGAATAACCCCAGATCTCAAGACATAAGAAATAAAAAACACATCTTTACTCAAATTAGGCAATTACTTGAATAGAACTAAAATAATTATTATGTTTGCATGAAAAAAAAACACAAGCAGGATAGGCTGTGCTTTCTCTGCTGTCAGCATCTGCTGCATTGTTTATATGTAGAAGTAGCTCTGGGGATACAATGGGGCAATAGAAAAGTTCAGTTTTATGCTCCATTGAATCATAAGAAGTTGAAGCAATCCAAGCTTCTACCTCAGTCAGGAGACAGTCAGTGGTTCTAGTGAAAAAGAAAGATTGCACCTCAACAGTAAGTAGATCTGAGTGTTGTCTGGGTGGGAATGAAAAGAAATAACTCTTCTAAAGATGAAGCCTAAGAGGAGAATGTAGATGGAAATAAAAAGGGTCTAAGAATCGATCCTTGGGGAACTGGATTTGACGGCTGGCATCATCAACAAACTCAAGACGCCAAAAGAAAACACCTGTCTAATGTGATTGTATCTGCCACAATCCTTGTGTTTTATTTAAAGTACTGGTAAGTGATTTTGGTAATGCTCCACACACGTATTGACATTATTGAATCCTTGCCTGCTGCATGTGAAAAGTTTCTGCATTTATTTACAATAAAGTCACTTCCACCAGGGCCCAGATCTCACCTTCTGCCCATGAGCCCTCAGTCTATGTCCTGCTCTGCTGTTTTTGACAGCTTTGAACCTGTGACTCTGTCATCTCTGCAGGAGGTGGTTAGTCTTCTAAAGCCTACAGGTTCTCCAAATGATGCTGTTCATCCTTGTTTATTTAAAAAAGTTTTCCTCACTGTAGGGCCTTCAGTCCTTGTTCTTCTGAACAGCAGTCGGTCCTCTTGTGTGGCCCCTGGAAATTTTAAATATGCAGCTGTCCAGCCTCTGGTTAGGAAACCCACTCTTGACCCTTCTGTTCTTGCTAACTACAGGCCAATCTCTAAACTGCCATTTCTTGTGAAAGTTCTTGAGAAGGTCTACAACCAACTATTGGCATATTTGAAAGAACAGAACATTTTAGAGATTTTACAGTCTGGTTTTAAATCTTTACACAGTACATAATCTGCCCTTTTAAAAGTTTTAACAACACATTATTAGCAACTGATCCTGGTGACAGTGTTTTCCTCTTGCTTTTAGATTTATCGACTGCCTTTGACACAATGGACCACAGGATTTTACTTTGTTGTTTGAAGGGGATCATCAGCAGAACAGCTCTAGACTGGCTGAGCGTACTTTTTGTGTCTGCCTTGGTGACCATGTGTCCTCCACTCCTCCTCTTTTGTGGGGTCCCACAGGGCTCAGTTTTAGGCCACATCCTCTTTACTCTGTACCTACTCTCTTTTGACTTTTTTTTTTTTTTTTTTTTTTAGAAAATATGGGCTCTCCTTTCACTGTTATGCAGATGATACCCAGATTTATGTCCTACTAAAGAAAAAGGATTCTAACTCTCTGGGTCCTCTGTTTTTATGTCTGGAGGACCTAAAAGCCTGGATGGCTGTGACTATTTGGAAGTTTAATGAGAAAAGACTGAGGTGATGGTCTTTGGAATCTCTACTGAGACCCCCTATATATCAGAGCAGTTGTTAAATCCAGTTTTTTTTCCATTTTAGGCAGCTGCTTAAAGTAAAGCCAATTGTTTCTCAGTGGCATTTCAAACAGTAATCCACGCCTTCGTTAGCACTGGGCTGGATTACTGTAACACACTTTATAAAGGAGTCAGTGATTCCTTTATCTCAGCTTGAGTGGGTACAGAATGTTGCTGCAAGGTTTTCAACTGGCACACAAAAGTTTGACCAGTTTTAGCCTCCCTGCACCAGTGTACATATTAAGATTCATTTTAATAATAATAATAAACGTTATTTTTATAGCACCTTCCAACAACGCCTTGCATTGACCAAGGTGCTTCACAAGACAAAACAAGATTAAAAGCAGGACACAATAAATCAGTGCAAATTAAAAACACAGCGAGAATAAAAGAAGGTAAAAGAGATAAAATAAATAAATAAATACTAAATACTAAACTACTAATAGTTAAACATTAAAAACCCTTTTAAATAAGTACGTTTTCAGTTTGTCATTTTAAAATTCTTGATTTGCTTTTAAAGCTCTTAATGAACTTGCCACGCCCTATCTGTTCAAGCTGCGACATCCCTACACCCTCGATCCCTCAGTCAGCTGATCAGCTCCTCCTGAGTGTAACAAAGACGAAGCATAAGCTCAAAGATTGTGCTTTAGCTGTGGCAGCTCCTAAATTATGGAACAATATCAGACAGGTCTCTTCCCTGTCTGTTTTTCCATCCTTTCTTAAAACCCACCACTTCTCCCTGGCCTTTGACACAGTCTTAGATGATGACTTTTAATTGTAAAAAAAATAAACTATTCCATTTTAATTCATTCTGACAATTGTATGATTGTTTTATTACATGTCGAGCACTTTGGTCCTTTGGGTGTTTAAAGTGCTCTATAAATAAAGCTGGTAAGGTAACTCCACATGTGAGAAGAGTTGCGGAAGAAGCAGATTCTCTGAGGCTTACAGAGAAACAGCTGAATGGATAAGGCAGACTAATATGAAACTTGTGAAAGAGCCTTCACAAACTGTTTGCAGAAGCTGAAAAAAGAACACTAATGTTTAGAGGTTTGTGTGTGTGTGTGTGTGTACCCCTGAACATCTAAGGCCATCACAGACCTGTTACAGCTCAGTCTGATTTGAGACTCAGCATAAAGAGGAGCTGCATCTATGACGATGCCCATCCCAACCAGCTGTGCCATATCAGCCAAGTTTGCAGTTAGCCGTTTCTTTTAAAATGCATTTCTCCTGTTTTTCTTAGTTTTGGAATGGTAAATGGACTGTACTTATATAGCACAAGACACTCAAAGTGCTTTACAACACCATCTGTGTCCTCATTTACCCATTCATACACCGATGGGACACACATTGGAGGCAATGAGCACATCCATCTTGCCCAGGGACACTTTGGCATGTGACTGCTGGTGGATTAGAACCCCCGACTCTTGCACTGAGGACGACTGCTCTAACCACTCAGCCACGGCCGCCCCTAAGAAGGTAAGAAGTTGTCTTTTGGTTCTTTTTATTTTTGTGCATAGGTGCATTTTGTGCGTAGATGGATCAAATTAGGACAGTTTGGTTGTGTTAGTTATTTTGCACTCAGTTCTGAAATCTGTAAAACTCCACTCTTTCACCATAACCTGTAAAGCAATCATTGTCATCATCAACTAGTCATGTGGCTGCTTGAGCTTTGAGACAGATATCTCATTTTCAAACACACACTTATTAGTTTTAACGCTTGTCCAGCGAGGTGGGGAGGTAAGCCTCGAGTGGTGTCAAGCTCTCAGCTTGTGCCAGTGTGACTCGGTCAGGGTTAGGTTACTTCAGTTACTTCAGGTGTACTGCAGGGTTCTGTTCTTGGTCCTCTCCTGTTTATCATTTATCTTCTCCCACTTGGCCTTATCTTAAAAAAAAATTGGTATTAATTTTCACTGCTATACGGATGACACCCAGCTCTACCGCTCCACCAAGCCCAACACCACCCTTCCACCATCCTTCCTTTCAGACTGCCCCCGTGAAATCAAATTATGGTTTAATCAGAACTTTCTTAAACTGAACTCAAATAAAACAGAATTCCTCCTTGCTGGCACCAAGTCTACCTTATCCAAATGTAATGGTTTCACAATTAAAGTTGATGATTCCACAGTTTCTCCATCCCCTACAGCTAAGAATCTGGGTATCATCCTTGATAGCACATTATCTTTTGAATCTCATGTCAATAATATTACTCGTCTGCATATTTTCATCTTCGAAACATCAACCGTCTTCGTTCATTTCTTACCCCCACCAGCACAGATATCCTTATCAATGCTCTAGTCACCTCTCGACTAGACTACTGTAACTCCCTCCTCTCAGATCTTCCTCTCAAAATCATCCATAAACTTCAGCTTGTTCAAAACACAGCTTCCAGGATAATCACTAGAACTACGTTGAAGGAACACATCACCCCTATGCTTAAAGATCTTCACTGGTTACCCATAAAATATCGCATCAACTTTAAAACTCTCCTCCTCTCTTTCAAAGCTCTACATAACTTGGCACCTCTGTACCTCACTGATCTTCTTTCATTACATTTCTTTATTACACACCTGCCCAAAGTCTTCGCTTCTCCCTATCCATCTCGTTTGTTACACCTCCTGCCCGCTTAACAACCATGGGATCCAGAGCCTTCTCCCACAAAGCCACTCGTCTCTGGAACTCCCTTCCACAGAACATCCGTAATTCTGACTCTCTGCCCTCATTTAAATCTAACCTTAAAACTCACTTTTTCAAACTTGCTTATTCTGTTTAATGTCATTATGTATTTTGTCATTATTAGCATTTGATTTTATTGATATTGTTTTATTGTTTTTATCTTGTATTTCTTGTTCGGTGACCTTGAGTGTTTTGAAAGGCGCCGTCAAATAAATAAAATGTATAAATAAATTGACAAACTATTACACAGCCAAGATCTTGATTTAACTTTGACCTTGATTTGTGACCTTGACCTTAGCACTGGGGGGTGATGAAAAGTGTAAGTGACACTCTTCTCGTGATGATGCAGATGTGCATTAAGTTTTATCAAATGATCTTAAGCAGATCAAGTTATGGGTGGGACAAGAAAAGGCTTCTTGTACTGTACCATAACATGTCCGTCGTATCAAAATAAAGCTTGAGTTACGGAAATCAAAATGCAACTCTGCAACTATTATAATTGAAATTTTATTTTGCAATGTACTTTAGAAAATGTTCAAAAATTACTCTGCACTTAATACAAGTAGATTTTGAACCTGTGCAAATGTTTTCAGACGCCTTCGAGAATGCTGTTGGCACTTCGCCGCAGCGTAGTGGGATATTGGCTTTAGTGCTTTTGTTTGCTCAGATGGGAAGCGATGCAGAGCGGTTCTGTTAGAAGCTGGGGCTGTTAGAGACGGTGCTGTGAATCCACACTAGTGGCAGAATGCAATGATTGTCAATAACAGTCTCATTTTGTCACCACGAGTGGAGCTATCATCAGAACTCAAGCAAGCAGCGATCAGTCAACTTCTGCTAACACCCATTACAGCTAATGGCCTCCCAGATGAAGCTGGGGGAGGTACACCCAGCTCTAATGATAAACAACATTAAAATGGAAACCAAATCAATCCTGTAAAGGTTCCATGTAGGTAAACATTCTCCTTTATTATAGCCAAGCGCAAATCATTGAGCTTCTGAAGAGCTTCGACAGTCAGGTCCAGCTGCACCCTCGCATCCCGCGGGACAAACTAATGACACCGATCCATCCCACATGATAGATTCACAACACAAATGACTGTTTACCACTTTACTTTGTTATCAGTTCTCACAAGATGAACACCACTGCATTTGCAAGAGTGCAGCATTAAAAAGTAGGTTTCTATTTGTTCTTGAATATTGCACGTGAACAACTGTTGCACAAACGTTTGAAATAAGTTTAGCTGTAAGATCGATAGTAAGACAACTGACTGCAGCTGTCAAAGGCAGGAGCTGACAGATTTAATCTCAAAGTAATGATCAGTCCATCAGTTACTTTGATTAGAAACACAAAGAATGTCACAAGTTAGCAGTATTCAAGGTTTTATCCATAGAATCCTTAAATGGCAGTGTGCCACAGATTTACAGTCAGAGGAAAAATAACATCCCCCCTTATTATTCTGGGGTTTACACATCAAAACAGAAAAACAATCCTAAGTTTTCAAATGATCCTAAACTCAGCTAAAGTGTACAAAAACACAACAAACTCCAGCTTGTCGAACAAAAATAAAGCCAAAATGGAACAGCTGTGTGAAAAATGAAGTCCATACTTGTTGCTGGGAGCTGCTGATCAAACGTATTGATAAAAACTGGAGTCTTGTGCTCTGATGGGCCTGTCATGATAACAAATTTTGCTGGGCAATTAATTGTCTCAGAAATTATTGCGATAAACGATAATATTGTTTGAAATTTGACAATAATTAGTAATTGTCAAATTTAAGAAGAAATGTTTGTTAATTTGTTTTGCGTGTAGTACCTTTTTTCGACCAGTATAAGACAGTATATTCGGCAGTATAAGACTGTTTGAATTGAAGGATGGATAGTGAGGGAGTGAGCAGCGTGTCTCTTTAAGAAAAATGGGAGGGAGGCCCCTTGACGTGACATGGGCTGTCTCTCCTTCCTTTTTTCGGTTCTCAAAATGGCGGACGCTCAGTGTGGTTGGAGCTCTTTAACATAGTATTTTTCACAAAAAGCTTTTAATTAAAAAAAATCAGTAAACAAGTTCTCAGCTTCTTTATGCAGAGAAAAACAACCTTTTACACGAAGGCATGGGTTTCAATCGTGAATTTTGGAGTTTTGACAAGACGGAGGTTTTTTTTCCCCAAGGTCGGCCTGTTAGCTTAGCTCGTAACTTAGCTTCTCAGCTTAGCTGCTTTTAACGATCCAAAAACACAATTTTGTACAGATTTTTAAAACAAAAGAGAAAGGGAGGGGTCAGTGAAGAGCACCGGAGTTGAGCCTTTAATCATCCAGTGTCTTCAGTAGAAAGAGAGAGACACACGAAGAAATGATAACGCTGATAAATGAAAATGAAGTCGATAATTTTCATTTATCATGCGATTAATTGATTTATTGTTTATCGCGACAGGCCTACTCTGAAGCATACATGTGTGTATTAACACAACACCAAGGTGGAAGTACATCAGCAATGACCTTACAGAGGCAAATGTTGCTGCTCATCAATGTGTAAAGGGTCAAAGTTCATTTACAAACTATTTGGAGTTCATCATTCTACAGAGAGAAGTTAAAAACATTTAGAACATCTGCCAGGCTTCACAGAAGAGGACGTCCCAACAAATTCACCCTGAAGGTCTGACTGTGTAATGCTCAGAGAAATGACAAAACATTAACAAAAGTACTGCATACAGCACTTTACACACCCATCAACAAACTATTATACAGCACTCCATAGCAATGACCCGGACAAAGCAAGGACCTAGTATAACCGTTGACCTTGATTTGTGACCTTGAACTTGAGTGATGAAAATACTATGTAACATGCAGTCTAACGGTGATATAAATATATATCAACTTTTGTTAAATTACCTTGAGCATGTCAAGAAGTTATGGGCGGGACAGGAGAAAGTTTATGGATGTACAGAGTCCATCTTTCGACGGGTGGAGAAAATCAAGAGCTCCATCTCAGAGCCTAAATGTTTACAGATCTACAGTTCATGGCAGGACAGTTAGAAAAGGACTAATCAAGTAAGGCTCATTTGAAGGAGTCTCTTAAAAACAGGACAAAGAGCCCAGACACAGCAGTAACAGAACTACAACAACTTTCAGAAAAAGCTGTTCACAAACCACAATGGACTGAAGTAATATTGGAAAGAAGAGTGGGCCAAAATTCTACAACCATGAGAGTCTGATAAAATCCTAAAAAAAAACATGTGGACCTTGAATCAAGGGGTGTTTTTCATTCAGCTTTTCCACATGTTCTGTTTTAGTTTAATGAACAAAGACCCGGTGGAATCTGTTGTGTGATTTTGTTCACTTGACTGGAACCACTTTAGACCAGATCATTTTTAATATGCCCTAACACATAAAACTTTAGAACATTTTTTGTTAAGCACTTTGGTCACCATCACCATGGTTGTGTAAAGTGCTATAGAAATAATTAAATTAAATTAAAATTAAAACTGAAGGGCCTTTTTCATGATGTTGTTCCACAGGCAGCTCTGCTTTTCCCCCTAAGTATAAGCATGAACTTTGTTGTTAAGTATAAGTAGTGTGTCCAGTGAAAGTGATCGTATCAGGGTGATAAACCATCAGCTTTAGATTAGCTCATATTCTGTACGGTACCTGGGCCACTGTGATGGCACACTTCTTTGCCAGCTCTTCTTTAGCCTCCTCGCTGGGGTAGGGGTTACTGAGGTGTGAGTAGAAATACTCATTCAGGATCTCTGTGGCCTGCTTGTTGAAGTTTCGTCTTTTCCGTCTGCAACGAGAGCATCTCATTAACATGGGTACAGTCCAGTCATGGTTGTACAGTATGTTATGTAGCTTGAAGGTCACCAAAAAACACAGGCGTGACCCTGATGATCATTCACTCACTGAACATAAAACCAGAAACTGGGTCACAAGAACTTATTGAATCAGGAATTTGAATGATTAACAAATAAAATAGAATTACAGCCTATATGTTAACTGAGAGACTGATAAAAGTCAAGCACATGTTCAAGGAGTAAAATCAAGCAGTAACCCGAGATCCCCCGTTGCTGAGGGATTTAAATAGTGAATGTTTGTAGTTTTGGAGATGAGTGTTTTTCTGGACTGGACTGAACAGAGAATGAAGTAAACCTTAATGTTTTTGGTGAAAGATATTCAGGAGGGCAGGAGCTACACTATAGAGAAGAGCAGAGGGAGTTTATTTTTATTTATCTATTTTTCTTGCTCAGTGTGACAGATCCTGGAGAGGGGAGGGAGACATTTATCCACCATCAGGTGCAATGGAGGAGCCAGGGGGTGGCCAATGGTGGCCTTGGCCCCCATGGAATAATCTTTGACCACTTCAGTCATTTGAGGAAACTATATTTTTAAGCAATGTAAACTAGGGCTTTAACAGACTACTCGAGTAATCGACAAGTCGATTCCTAGGACATCTATTGAGTTTTTAAATTTCATGTTGAGTATTCACAGTGACGTCTTTGTGTCACGTGATTTGCACCGGGCTACTAGTTGAAGCTACCAAATGGATTCCTCCCAGCAGATGGACTGAGCGGAGCAGGCCCAGTCTTGGCAAACAGGTAGAAATATATCAGTAGTCTGGAAATATTTCACTAAAGATGAATCTTCCGGTTCAACTACCGTAAGGAAACAGAAAATTAATAAACGTCCTGACTGTTTGGAGCTCGTGGTGAACCGGTGTTATACCATATTCTGACCACTGTATATTGTGACCATAGGGGTGGTGTTGCATGCACTGTTGCAGGTCACAGAATATGGTGTAACACCGGATCCAATCGACTGAACCAGAACCAGCTTCCTCTGACCTTGTTTCACAAACTAAAAGCAAAAAATATTGAGCTCTAAACCTATAAAAAAAACCTATAAACATATTAATCTCTAAAATTAAACCTAATGTGCATCACTACAGGCGGTGGTGCGGGGTGATTGACCGCACCACTGTTTTTAGTTTTGTTTTTGACGTGCTGCACGTTATTTCTTTCACTTTTGCAGCTTAATAATAACTAATAGTTGTGTTTTTCCTGTGACTTATTTGCAGTATGATAAATGGTAGGAGCATAATATACTCTCCCAATGTTTTGTTGGTCTTTTTTTTGTAAATAATAAATGACGTTTATTTGCGGTTTTATTATTTTTTTTATTTTTTCATCTTGAGATCCTATGTCGTCATCAACTACTCGAGTTGTACTCGAGTTTTATTATGTTAATAATTATGTAGTCGTTCAACCCCTAATGTAAACACTAGAAAGCATAGTTTCCTTGAATGATAGTCGTGGTCAGTTTACATGTTTATATGGTGGTGTGTATCTTGGATTTTGATGTTTCCAACTTAATTTTCAGTAGTGACCTTTTTTACACCTAGATGCAGCCACACAACAAAATAAAAGTCAGTACTTCACTTGCTTTTCAATTTATCATGCACACAACATGCATGGACGAACGGAGGGTGTTTCCAGTTCACCCTCCTAACCTGTTTCCTGGAATATCTTACAAAAAGACCTGAAGCTCTCGACCTTGACCTCTCTAAGTGGCTTTAAGAATCTATTGGACTCCTGGCAGGGACCAACGCAGACATGTTCCTGTTTTTAGTTTTCTACATTCGCCTTACAACCTTTTTTGCCATCTTATTTTAATTTGTAAAAACAAAAAAATCGGTATGCCTCTTTTATAACTGTCTATTGTTGCCACTATTGTTCATTGTTGTCATCATTCTTTGTTGAAATCAGGTCTCTCTTGTAAATGAGTCCCCGAGGCTCAATGGGATTAACCTGTCTAAATAAAGGTTGAATGAAAAAAAACATTTTTAAATCCTATATGTTTGTTTGCCCCCAATCATGGAGCGGAGTAGGAGAAGGTCTTTTTGACAAGTTCAGTCCTCACTGAGGGAACACTGCAGGTAATAATGTCCTGAGAGCGCACGCCGTAGCTGCACTCATGCAGAGACATGTAAGATGTATGAAGGCAACAGACCAAGAAGTGATTTAAAGAAGAAAATGTACCAGTAAGAGAGTCTGCGTGAAGTTAATGATGTCCAGTTAAAGTGAATACAGGGTGCAGTGGTGGGTACGATAATCACAGCCAGTTATGAATCTTAGTGCACTATGATGGACAGCATCCAACATCTAACAGTTTCAAAACACTGACACTTGTGTATAATTTACCCAGCTGTTCTTCTGGATACTTCACCTAAATGTGTCCACAGAGTAGAACTGACACAAATGGCAGTGTTAGTTTAATGTGACACAAAGGAAAAGTTCCACTTCCTCGTCTTTCTCTTCCTGTGTTTTCAGTCTGTTTATTTTCACGGCAGCATCACATCCAGGCCTGAAAGAGTACCCATTCACATGGATCAAATAAAACATCAAATACTACCTAGCTCCGTCTTATATTACAGATCTTATTGTTCCATACTTTCCTAGCAGAGCACTCCCAAACTGCAGGCTTACTTGTGGTTCCTAGAGTTTCTAAAGTAGAATGGGAGGAAGAGCTTTCAGTTATCAGGCTCCTCTCGTGAAGATCAAACTTCCAGTTTCTGCCCATGAGGCTGACACATTGTATTTTATTTTTATACATTTAAAAATATGTTTTTCAAGCTAATTGAATAATTTCAGTCACAATTTCTAAAGTCAAAAAAAATAAATTGTTACACTAAATATTAAAATAGCTCAATCACAAACATTCAATTTAATTTACAACTGGGATTACCTGTTCTAATGACACAGTTCAAAATCTTGGATTTTTACTCTTGAGAAAAAATTACATTCATGCTGATAAAACATGTGTTTGTATCAAAACTGATTACCCTTCTCCTTATCTACTTGTTTTCATGAAGAAATGTTTTCATTAAGACCATTTCTGTCATTTTGACCAGCTTTAAAGGTCAAAACTGACATTTAGTAGTTAAAAAAAAAATATTAGAAATCAGTAAAGAAAGTGCTTCTGGGAAGAAAATGAGAACAATTTTAAGAGTGAGGGAAAACAACCAACACTGGATCTGTAAAGGTTGAGACGTGAAATGTAAATAAAACAAAATGAAAATATTTTTTAAATCTCATAACCTCAAGTTTTATTCACAATGGAGACTAATAATTGAAAAATTTAAACCCATGTAAACATATTCTAAACAAGCAGGGCATCAGTCGGCTTCTACGCTGAATGTCCCGCTCAGATGCAGGGTGAGAGCAGCGTTTCCATCTTTGGGCCACTTCCAGTCCGACAGTTTGCCCCTGATTAAAGGTAAACTCTTCCCTTCCTTATCACCTGTCTGGGACAGGTGCTGGCTGACTGTTAAAGAGACCTCCTGTCCCTGCTGCACAGCATGCGGTCTGCCACCATCTACATCAGGAGGTCCCAACCCTGGTCCTTGAGGAACACCATCCTGCTTTGACACACCTGATTTGAATGAATGTGTGCTTAACAGGCTTTGGCAGAACTTGAGGAAATAATAAAATCACTGAATCAGGTGTATTGGAGCAGGGAAACAACTAAAATACAGGATGGCGTTCCTCAAGGACTGTGGTTAGGAACCATTGAAATCACAGCAATGTCTAAACCTTTAGTTTTACTCACAATTTTTCAAAAAGAAAGCAATAAACTAGGTGTGGTTACACAACTTGTTTACCCCACCTTTTAAGAACTGCTGATTTATCAGTGCTGTTAAACAAATCGTTCAGATAAACTATCAGCTGTGGTCAATCATAATCACCAACGAGAAGTAAATATGTGGTGCTGAAGATTTAACTAGACACGGCTAAGGCTCGTTAACTTCACATAAGTGATCATGAGGGACTGCAGATTAGATCAAATTCACAATTAAATTCAATTTGTGCACACAGTTTTTGTTTAAAATGACTTTTGAAGTTGTATAAATGCTCCAGTCTCGGAAAAAAAAGGTTCAGATAAATAATTTAGACCTTCATGTTTCTGATTGGTGGATGTAAATCTCTGACTTCAACTGTAAGCATCAGGAATAAATTTACTGAAATAAAACAAGTTAAAACTCACACAATCATATTGGTTCAAGCTTACATTGGATTGCTTTGCCTTGGTCAATAAAAATGGACTAAAAACTTAAAAATGTTCATGTTGTGACATTAATCTGTAATGAATCCAAACTCAGAGTCATGTTGAGGCTGATACAGAAAGAATAAATTTGCAGCTTAGCTTTTGTAGTAGTCTGAATTTTTTGAGTTTTTCAGTTTTTGAAGATGCTGAAAATTAAATCTTGACCCTCCATCTCCCCCACCTGTTAGATCACAACTTCCTGTGCCAAATTTACAGAAACTCAAACAGTCCCCCAGTAACGTCTCTTCTTTTGTATCGAATGGTGGAGAGAATTTTAGCAAAAATCTCTGTTTTCCGCTCCGACATTCTGCATGAGAATATGTAAATGTGCTCAGCATGAGCCGCGGCAGCCGCTAGATTAATCAGAGCATGGCAGCGCCTCTCAACCAGCGAAAGCTTTCCTCCTCTTCCTTGCCCTCGCTGCTGCACCAACACAATCATTTGCAAGAGAATAGATAGGGAGCTTTGCAAAGGAGTACATGCCTCATTTAAATGTTATGCCTCCAACCCGGGCTTTGAGTGAGACTTATCCTCAGAGAAATGTATGCAAATCCAAAGCATGCATCAAAGAGAACAAGCGATTACATTAAGAAAGAGGAACCGTGTTGTTGAGCACACAGTATGCTGTTACTGGCCCACACGGCTGGGTGCGCTGGTCCAAATGGCAGCCAGCAGCCGTGGTTTGCAGAAAAGCCAGTTATGCTGTGCTTTTAGGGCCTCCTACATGAGCTGTTTGTGGGGCTTACAGCCTGTGGAGGTATTTGTGAGGAGGAAAGAGTAGAAACACACACCTGGCGTCGAGGAAGCGGGAACGCAGAATCATGACAGCTTCGCAGGTGCTCTGCTTGAGCTGCATCTGGATGGAGCTGAACTTGCGGTGGATGATGTTCACCATGCGTTCGATCTCTTTGGGCGAAATGGGCCGCGTGCGCGACTGCTCCCGCAGCAGGTTCATCACGTGGGTGGTGAACTCATTACAGGCCTGCAGAGGAGACACACACACACACACACACACACATGGATCTGTCAGCGAGCAGACTTCCCTTTAACTGCAGAGGAGACCTTGATCTGTCAGTGAGACCACGTCAGATTTTAGTGCACAAACGGCTTCACACTGGAAATAAAATTCAGCCGAGGCACTGATATGTTTGGTGTTTAACAGAAACTGTGACTGAAGCATGTAGAGGAAGATCCAGTGACAGCTGTTCCCTCCGCAGACACACACTTTCATAGTGTAGCTAACCCTGGGAGACGAACATGCCGCAGCGTTTCATTTCTCCCCGTGTGACACGAGGCAGGAATCTACTGCCATATTCCGCTCCGGCTCGGTCTCTTACCGTCTGATCTTCTTCGTTTCGGCTCTTCTTGTCGGATCTCTCTCTGGATTTAGCCGTGTCAGGCTTTGTCTGCGCCTGTCTATCTGCCTGCTCATCTGTCTCACACCCATTCATCTAAAAGGGACGCTGTTGCTGTGAATGCATCTGATACTAACGTAATGGGAGGAAGCCCGCCCCCCCCCCCCCCGCCTCTCAAGGCAATGCTTGGATTTTTTTTATACCTGAATACCCGTAGCAACACAACTGGCTGTATATTATGGACTATTCTCAGGGTAAAAACAATCCAAAATAAAACAAACAAACAAACAAACAAAATATCAGGAGCATGAAGGAGCAGAGTAATATATTTAATTTGAATGCATTTGTAGATGAACAGATGCTGAGATATATTCATCAATTAAAACAGATTCTTCATTTTTCCTCGGTACGCTCGGTAGTAAACTTGACTCGTTACCTCTCTGAAGATGAATCAGCAGATACGGAGTTCCAGTTAACGCTACCTGTCCAGCGTCTCCATAGGATGGCTGTGACTCGTCCGAAGTAGTGACGAGATTCCGTCCGACACAAGCTCACCTCAGCAAGTGGACTTCACATGAGTGGAGTCCTTCAGAAGTTCCACTCAGAGGTGGAAGATGTTATAATCCAAACTCGGAAGAGCCTTATCATGGCTGGACTTCTGTTCTCCCAAACGACTGGAGCTGCAAACTCTCCAGCCGACTCCAACGGCAACTCACAGAACAACGACTTCACAGAACTGCGAACATCTCAGAACTGAGAGAACTAGGAAGTACCAGCATTTAAAGGGCTCTATTTCCGGTATATTTGAGAGTTCCTGACTGGTCAATGTCGACCAGACAGGGGTGTGGTTTGTGACGTAAGAGGTTACTAGAAGTCAGAAAACAGCAAGAATTGTTATGGAACAGATTAAAACTGTTCTCAGAGACAGAGAGAGTTTTGTTTTGGCGAGTTTGGAGAAACAGGTGCCAACTTCTCTGTTGACGTCTGAGAGGATGTAAACAAGACAGTTGTTCCAACACATGTCTGCTTCGACTCCTGACCTTGGAAAACGCACACTTGCTCATTCAAAGACAGAAATCAGAAAATGCATAATTACTCTGTAACAGACCTTAACATGAATTCTAACTTTGCATAAGCAACTAAAAAATCATTGTTACTGTTTTACAGTTAATAAAATTGATTAGTTCACTGCAACATCTAAAATGGTTTGAACTAAAACACTTTGGTTATCAACATTTGTAAAATAGTAATGATAATAAAAAGAGAGTGTTCTTTCACTTGATTTTCAAGAAAGAAAGTCTCAGGATGGGTGAACCTGTATTTCTGGATTCAAATCAATGAAATGACAGTTTCTGTCCCACAAGGTTCTTAAGGTCAAGGGTTTTGACCTTAGGCTTAGTTTTGACATCAGGTCAAGTTCACTACACATTTTAATTATTTATTTCATGATCAAACTGCAAAAACACACAGAACTGGTTCAAATTGGTTTTGTCTGACTGGCAGGCTTACTCAATAAACCTACACTGTATCACCACTCAAAACGACTACATTTCCCAGAAGCCAACAGTGCCCCACCCAGAAGCCCCGTTGCCTTCTGCTAAAATGGAGAGAAAGTTTTGATCCCATCTGAAAAGTTTGGTCCTTATTCTTATACAGTGACTTTGGCACCCAGCGGATGCAGAGAGCCACATGGAACCGATGGGGAACCGGATCAGAACCAGACCTCCAGACTCATCGGTGAATCTGAGTGCCGCCTGCTGGCCCACGAGGCCTTCCGAACGGGGAGGCGCTACCCAGAGGTCCAGCGTTCTCTCCGGAGCCCACCAGGACTACCCCGAGCCAGAGAGCCGACCAGAACCAGCAGGGTAGGTCTGCTGAAACGGAACTGATTCGGACCGGAACCGAGCTGCTGTTGTTCTGCAGAGCTGGTGAGTAAAATTTAGTAGCTACATACACAGTACTGTACGTATGTTGTTAAAATGACATAGGTTTAAGAGTTTAGAACATTGCAAGAGTGTGGGAAGGGTTTATAAAGCCTTAAAATATAAATACAAACTAAAATAAATGTAATGTCCGTACTTCATGGATTTTCACTTATTGCGGGGTGGGGGGTGGGGGAGGGTCTGGAATGTAACCCCCATGATAAACAAGGGACTACTGTATATATATGGTGGTGGACATCAATTTTTAGTAGAGACCTTTCTTACATGGAGATGCAAGCGTCCACCAGAAGTGGAAGTGGGTTATCATGCTCAGACAGACGGACTGAAAGATGGAGGGTATTTATAATCCTACTCTTTGCTCTGCGATGGCAGACAAATAGACAGATTTGAACAAGGTCTTGTTTTTTAAAAATCTTTGATGAGACTTTTACATCTGGACATTTGCCTCAGATCTTTCTTTTTTTTTTTGTCATAGTAGAGCACATGTGCATGAGTCAAACAGCTCTAGAGCTCCTGAGATGAGTTTTAGATGCCCACAATATGACTAGTATAAACTCCTAAACGTTTTGAACATGTTTGAAACCTAAGTGACCAGACACTTTGAGGACATTGAGGACCAGAGAAACTGTTGAGACATTCAGGAGACGTCCTCATGAATGTTTTTATCATCTAATTGCAGCCCAGGGAGGCACTAGGTTTAACACAAGAAGTTCTGCTCTTTGAAAAGTAGCAGAGAGAGCCTGATGCTGATGTTCGTGAAAGGATTAGCTGAGTTATTAGCAAACATTGAGCCCACAGCAGGCTGAATAAGTTTTGTAGCTTACTGCAAACGTTTCTTTCAAAACAGCTTGACTGTAAAAAGAGAGACATCTGTCCTCCAAGCAGTAAATGTTTTAGAAGTTTGCTACAAAAAGAATGAAACAGTCAGCTTTGTATTGTAGTTTTTTTTTTTTAAATGAACAGAAAAGCCATGCACATGCTCTTCCAGTCTGTAAGCAGGTGTTTACATCCTGTTGCTGCTCTCACCTGCTCGTACTTCTCCAGCTCTGTGTGGTAGATCTGTCTGATCTGGGACAGCTTGGCCCGGTAGTCCGAGTGCTCCACAGAGTTGTCGGCCCCCGCCCCTCCTGAAGCGGCGGCAGCGGCTGCGGCGGCTGCAGACCCCCCGCCTTTCTCTGGGCCGGACACGCCCTCCGCCAGCAGCATGTTGTCCAATCGCATGAGCTGGGGGTCCGGAGGCTCCTCCTCCTGGGCTCCACGGATGCTCAGCACTGCAGCGACGAGAGAAGGTCAGAGGTCAGTTGTAAAGGTCGCACCTGCAGCTGAGGTGAAGCAACGTAACGAGCTGCCACAGTAACACAGCTAACGAACTGAGACATTAGGAACGACACTCAGGCAGGGGGAGAGAGGAGTGCAGAGAAATCTGTCTCTTTTAGGAAGAAGAGGAATTCTTCAACAAAATACAGAATCTGTTTAAGACCTAAAGTTCCTTGAACGCACACACGCCACCTTTAATGTCAGAGATTTAAACTCAGATCCACTATTTATAAGAAATGACAGATCTGTGGCTGTTTTGGTCAAACATAAATGGAATTTATGTGCAATTTCATGTGTTGAGACCTCGGCTACTACAACACAACAACTAGGGCAACTTATACACAACTGGCTAAATTATAGCTGTTTATGTATTTCCTGAGGTCACATGGTTGTGGCTGCCATCTTGAACGAGGTTGACTCCAAAAGTTAATCATTTGTAGACTAACATCCAACGATTACTTTATTAAAGTCTAAAAAATTCTGTCCAATTCAATTCAAGTTTATATAATGCCAAGTCACAACAGAAGTCATCTCAGGACATTGTACAAAAACATTCACATGAATTATAAAAGCCAAAATCTATCTATCTAAGGAAGGAAGTTAACTAACTCTAGATCAAACAAACTCTCATACAGATAGGTGCCAAAACATTATCTCCCTTTTGTCTTCAGCAGCTGTTTTTAAACAGTCCTGTTTACAAAAGAGTCCAATCTTAGAAAAAATAAGCTGATATTTTGGATATTTCCAATCTAGCCATGCACTCCTGCCACATGATTTATCAAGAAGCAGCACAAATAATAAATCCCTCATCTAATTTACTGATCCACGGAAATCCACAGTAAAGCAGCTGGCTCTGTTTGGGCAGTCGGATAATAAAATAACAGCTGCTCTGAAATCTCCAGCTTACTGCTTTCCAAACATGAATTCATTTGTTGTAGGCGCTGGCTAACAAAGAGAGACCAGGCTTTAGGAAAAACTGATGTAAACGTTGAACTTGATGGAAAACTATCATCTGCTGAAGAACACTTGATGTAAAAATGTAAAGTGGTTTCATCATGAAAATACAGGATATTTAAGGATGATATGTACAAGTTATTCGCCAACAATGACAAAGTTGTCTGGCTGGGAGGCATTTCTTTAGCTACTAGTTATTGAATTTGATTTTTATGGGTTTATGCAAGGAACAAGCTTCTTTCTGACAGAACAGATCGAGTGTGATATTGTGGAAATAAACAAAGATAAAGAGGATGATCTGACAGGAAGTATGAACCAGAGATCATTTCTGCAACAAGACGTGAAACCGTTGACGGGCGCTCACCCCAGACTTCCACTAGAGGTCTCCCTCACCATTCCTTAGGACATTTCCATGTCTCTTCCATTTTCTGAAGTGAAAACCCTCCCCGGCTCACACTCTTCATCCACCATCTGAAAGGCATCCATTTCCACACCCAGCTGCGTGGAGCACAGTGCCGCTCGGAACCAAACCGGGATCAGTGTGGAAACTGGCCAGCCAGTCCTGTCACAACTGGACCTTGGCCACAGCTCTCAACATGAACTCCGACTCTGTGACTTTGGGCCCTTAGAGTGTGGGCAGCCATTGAAAAAGGCACCACTTGTCGTTTGTCACATTGTCGGTAAATGGGAATGGACAGACCCATTAATTAGGAGACAATAGGCGTGTTTGGTGCATTAACCCCAGACTGCGCTTCGGGTCGGCAGGCCTGAGCAGAGGATGAGAATGAAGCCTGCTGTACTTTCAGGGGAAAAGGAAGGGGTTCACTCCCCTGCTCTCATCCTTAAGTGGACTGGGAATACAAATATGGCAACTGTTGGAAGGTGGAGGGTGTCCAGGGTTCAGGCTATAGGCGCAACAAGCTGTAGATTGAGAGGGTGTTCTCTTGGGACGACAGAGCTGTACAAACATCCTGTCTTTTTCATCGCTCCGGTCATGTAAGAAGGCTTGAAGAGGAAAACCCTGGACAGCTTTACACCAGCCTTACCTCTACAATGCCACAACCACAGCCACATCGCGACCCGATCAAACCTGCTCCATCAGAAACCCGAACCCCCCTGTCTGCCTACGTTAACATCCATCAGTGGTAGCTCTGTTTCTCCCTCTGCTCCTGAACACTCACCAATATGGAGGGGCACTTCTTTTTTACAGTTATCACCTCATAAATACCAGACTAAAGTGGGTGTTAAAATGAAAGCACACCACAGTTTCCCAGGGAGAAAAACGAGCTGAGTTACTAGAAGTCATTTCTAGCAGGAAACTAGGATAACACATTTAAAGAGGAAGAAAAGTGACAAGCTTACTGTTACAAAGACATCAGAAATGGTCAGGAGATCCGATGGCTTCAGATCCCATCAGACATGACTGAGTAATTATGAAAACCCTGTAACCTTTACATGAACAATGTTCACTTACCTGGCTATGCCTATGTTTGAGTGAGCATTCAGTTTCTACCACATTACGTGGGTTTAAGAGTAATTTTTGAACATTTGAATAGTCAAATTAGCAGATGCAATGCATCACGAAGGACCCCACTCAGCCAGCACAGATACTTTTTGCCCCGCTCCCCTCAAGCAGAAAGTTGAAGAGCATTAAGTGTAGAACCACTAGACTGAGGAACAGCTTCTACCCTGAGGCTGTTAGACTCATGAATCCCTAGTCAGGATTATCACTGTGAAAATGACTGTGAAAAAAAAAATCATTGTAATGCCACTTGGTTGTTGATATGTGCTGCTGACTATCCATGATGCTGATCTCATGCTGCTGATTTATTTCTTGTTGCTGTGTTCATTCGTCTTCATCTACTCACACAAACTCATGTTCGTGCTGCTGTTGTTTGGCACATTGTTTTGTACTAGCAGTGCTCAGTATATTCCTAGTTTAGCGTAGTTCTTAGTTCATATCTTAGATCTTATTACTGTTTTTCTTTACATTTTGTATTTTTGTTGGATATAAATGGGACCCAACGTACATAGTTTTGTTCCACCTCATGTACCACATGTGATGTGAATGACAATAAAGACACGTTGACCTTAGAATACAAGAGAAAATACATTTTTTGAAAACTTTTTTTTAATTTTACCTGCACCAGCGAGCCACTATTACTGACACAAGATGGTAGTTGCTAACCATCATGGTGCTATCATTAACAGGGGTGATTTGTTTCTGCACAACACCTACCCAAAAGAACTTGAAAATATGATGCGTCTGTTTCTGCTATTTTCACAGTGTTAATTAGAAATTGTTCACAGGGATGTTATCCTTTATCACAAAACACACACACACCAATCCAACAGAAAAGTCCAACAAACAGGAGGATCAGCACATTATACGCCTGTCGACAAACTATTATACAGCTACACATCAATCTATAGTAATGGTTTGGAGAAGCAAAGACCTTGTATAACATTTGACCTTGATTAATGACCTTCACCTTGGAGCTGTGGTGAAAACTATAGGCAACATTTTGTCTAGTGATGATGCATGTGTGTGGAGTTTTGTTAAATTATCTTTAGCAGATCAGAAGTTATGGGTGGGACAAGAGAAAGTTCATGGACAAACGTTCAAAGACTGTACTATAAAAAGTCCCGCTGTTTTTATATTGTAAAAATTACAAACGCTGCAAATAATCAGCTAGTGACAACAAGATTCAAATAATGTTAAACTTGACTTAATGGGACAGACTCATCTGAAATTTAAGATTAGACGTTTTTTCTTCCCCTTCCATCAGTGCTAATCGCCATTTTGCGTTAGCATTAACAGGTCTTCCATGAGGACGTTTTAACTGAGTGACGACTCAAATATTACTGTTTGGACTACGAGTTATGTGTTTTAAAATGACATCAGAGAAAACACAAGAGGTGTCAGAAGTTACTGAAAGGACATGATGTCCCGCAGGCGTCTGTCTGCAACTTATTTTATTACTTAGTAGCATTTGGCTGAAGTTTTTCTTTAAATATGAACTGACACTTACAAAGAATGCATTACAGATGTGAGAGCTTTAAATTAGCAGGTTTGACAAATGTAAAAACAGATTAAATAGTTTGATGGTTTTGATTATTGAGCTTTAATTTACCAAACATAGTTACAATTATTGTTAAATTTTGAACTAATTCCTGTTTAATAATCTGTTAAGCAAAAAAACTCAGGGATGTGTACTGGGCACACTGAGGATTACAAATCTTAGTTCAGTACCTCTAAAATTCTATCAATTTCTGTGCTTGCCACATTAGCTCTAGTGGCCATCTTGAGTTTTAAACAAAGAACTGAGATCTCTCAATAATAAGTGTTACTGTCAGCTTCTTCAGTACCCACTTTTACCTACTTATCTTTAATTATGACTGGGTTCTATGCTTGTTATGGTAGCTTGGGTGGCCATCTTGAACTGGGTTGACCTAAAAACTAAACCAGTTAAAAAGGGTCTTCCATTTGTTACTTTCTGAGAGTTTCATTTACATCTATTCAATGACTGAGACATTTCAAAGAGCGCAAGGTTCAAATAGAACTTAAATGGTTTCTTCTTTGTATTTAGGGTTTTTTATTTTTAATGAGTTACATCAAGTTCAAGTGAGGCATTCCTACATGAAATACCCATCCTTACTTAAAAGCACAAAAGTCCAGGGAAATCAGTCTGCAGATAAGCAGGAAGAAGTTTGTTGATGTTTTAAGGAAAAATCTGAGGCTATAACTCTTTACAAGGACGTAAAATTTGAGAGTGTCCATTAAAAAGAAAATGTGTCTACAAAAACAATTCTCTTCATGCCTGCCAAGTTCCAGCTTAACATTCAAGGAGTGTTTATTTAACTTGGCTTGAGGCTCGTCCAACATCAGTCTTACAGCAGCGCCTCTTACAGAGAAGGTCATTTCTTAGGAGATGTCTTGGGAGGAAGACAAAAAAAAAAACAACTATCTGGCCGCGTTTTTTCCCCTCTCACTAAATCA